GCACTGCTGTGGAAACAACTTTAACCACGTGCTCAGGTGGCATAAACAGAGGTGGTATCTTCATCAGCAAAGAACCAAATTACAAATCTAGAGTTTCTTGGATATTTTCATTTGGATTGTTTTAAGGAAGATTTTGAGGTTTCAAAAGACATGAAAGGCCAAGATTTGTTTTTTATTTGTTTATTAGTGTAAATCCTTTCTTTATTCCAAAAAAGAGGACTTAAGGTAACTTACAAAGACTAAGACAGCAACCAAAAATAAAATAAATAAGAAAATAAGGTAGAAAGGACTAGAAAGTAGAAGAAAAAAACAGGATGGAGCGGGGCCAGTGTCAGTCCCCAGAAAGCCTGCACAACGAGAGTCCTGGCAGCTGAGAGAAGAGGCAGACTCAGAAGGACTCAAGGCTCACGCTGTGCGTCAGGCAAGAGTAAACTGGTCACTGCTTCTGAGCTTTCTGAGATAATGGGAAAGCTGTGCCCCTGCCCAGTCACTGTGGGTGGTGTCGTGAACGATGGGTGGGGCGATATTCCCACCGCAAGCACAGTGACTAGCTTCATTAGGCTGTTCTGATAACACTGTAAAATGCAATTCATGGCCTCACAGTTCATCAAAGTCACTTCTGCAAGAGCCAGAGCCTCCTGTGCAGTTGCACATTCCTGCTGGCTAAACTCCATCTGAAAATAGCATTTAAAGAAACAAAAGGAAGGAAAGATCAACCCCACAGTCTTTGTCATGAACATTCGTGAGGATTATTTCTCATGACTTTAATAAGGATTGAATATTAAGGGTTAAGGTGACATTCTCTTGCCAGAATGCAAAGATCTGAAATTCTGCATAGTCAGTTGGGATACATGTGTAATTTGGAGGGTCCCCTGAGCAGAGTGCAGGATGATTATCCTCATTAAAATAAACTTCCTAGTTCATACAGTTGAAAGGGCAGCCACACAGCCTCCTCCTGGAGGTGGCCAGACGGGGAACATCCACGGAGAGTATCTAATTGTTATAAAAAAATCATTCTTTTGGAACACCAACAGAATACAAGGGAGACAGGACCCTGGCGACCTGCTCCATAGAGCAAAGCTATAGTGACTTTAGCCTGGAAAATTTTCAGAGGGAGTATCATTGGTTGTCCCCCAACCAGGAAAAAACATCTAGGAAACTTATAAGAACCCACTGAATGTCTAATTTTAAGTGATAAAACTTTTGGAGGTGCATCTAAGAAGCTGTGGATGAAAATACAATTCCAGGCGACTCCATCCAGGTGGGGCATCAGCCAAAAATTTTAGAGTGATTGGTTTAAGCCATTCTTTTTTGACAGCAAAACCACTGACGTCTTCACGCATAGTTTGAATGAAATTCAGAAGTACTATTCTCCCCTTTCCACTTCTTCTAGCTTGACTTAGTCCCTTTTTTTTCTTTTGCCTTTCTCTGACATGGCAAATAGATACTATGCCAGTGCCAACCAGAGGTGGGTCTCTGCTTAGAAAAACATTCCCAGGCCTTGTCTGTGCTCAGCATAAAAGACTCTTCTGGCCTGGAGGGTTTACAGGGGTGAAGGGGTAGCCTAAGGCTCCACGAGGCTTTCTCCCCTCTCACGCTACCCAATCTATCTTGTACCCATGATACAGGCAACAAGTGTCATGGTATCAGGCTCTGTATCAGATAGAGTGGGAGACAAAATCTGGAGTGGAACAGAGACCCTACCCACAAGGAGGTTCAGCCTAAACGGCAGAGTAGAGGAAATGTACTCCGATGACCGGGATATGAAGTGCAATGGGATCTAACATATATGTACTGTAATGGGAAGGGAGATCCCACCACAGAAATATAGGAGGGTGCTGTGTTATATTCTTTTGCCCCAAGTTTTTTACTCAGTTCAATTCGGCAAAATCCTCCATGCACCTCTGAGGCATCAGGTTCCAAGGAAGAGACCGGGGGTCTACCAGGATCAAATCTCAAAAAGCTACTGCCAACAAGAGCCATCAGAGCTTTTTTTACACATGTCGGTTTGAAGCCCAGGACGTGGTCTTTCTCTGACATGCTTTGGTACGTCCCCTTGAACAGCCCGATGCCCAGGAGGAGAGAGAGCAAACGCTTTTCCTGGAAAGGCATTGACATTGAAACACAGCAGCTGGAAATTGGCAAGGTGCCCTCAGAAGGCTGGGGAAGTGGTTTATTTTTCCAGCCTCACCACAGGAACCAGAGGCCCGGCAGATGCCTCCACGAGTTAGCGGCAGCTGAACTGAGTGAGATCAGTATTAATTATAGTTACTTTCCAGTGTCTTTCTCAGAAACGACAGAGTTCTTGGGAAGCCCAGACCCTCTCGAATTGCAATCAATACTGTATACACCTTGCATGGCGACCTGAGTGGCATGTAATTATAAAACAGTATTGATTCCTAGCAAAGCGGTTGAAAAGGTACAAATTCTTCCCATAAAAATCTGCTAAATCTTCCAAAGGCTTGATTATTTCTTTTCCTGAAGAAAGAGACCAATGGTGGGAGTGAAAAACTTGAAAGGTTAGCTAAATTAGGGCTATTCCCTGCTAGGAGCCAGATCTGTACACATAATTATTTTATTCTCCATGCTGGCACTGATCGGCTTTGGTTGAGTGTTGGAAATACCTCTCTGTTTTGAGTCTATAATCCAAATTATTCTGTCAGTTTCCATGAGGATGTTTTCTGCCTTCCTGTATTTTTTTTTCTGTGAAACAATAATTGCATGTCTGGACTTGACTCACCCCTGCCCCCCTGGTTCCCCTCCCTAGACCCGCTTCTGCTCCTCTGTCGCACCATCTGCTGTGCCCCTGGGCCAGGGGCACCAGTCCCCTGCACACACACCATGCTCGCCCAACTGCCTGTTTCATTTTGGCACGATTTGAATTTCTACTTCTAAGTTGGTGTGCACTCCAGTCCTGTTAAAATAACTGAAAATCTGGGTAGGTTTTCATCTTTCCTCCTTTTGGCTTCATCTCCATCCTCAGCAGCAGTTTGAACATGGACTCTCTTACTGCCTTTGCTTCTTCACTCATGGATGCCCCACCACTTTCTGCCTGGGCCATACAGTAGCCTCGCTCTGCCTTCCAGCTTCCAGACTCACCGCCTCCCCTGGCTGTTAGGAAGCCTGCTGATAATGCAAGTCTGATCGTGGCATCTGACTGCTGATAGTTCTCCAGTGGCTCCCCATCACCTGCAATCTAAGGTGGACAAGGAATTGTTGGTCTGGATATGATAGATGTTGAGTCCCCCAAAATGCAGCGTTATCTCCCGAGCCTCAGAGGTGATGGGAAGGCAGCAGCCCGCAGGATTGCAGGTGGGAGCCACATCACGTCGGAAAGGCCTCCTCATTCTGAGCTCCTTTGGAGTTTTGAGTATCTGTGGTCACTGGGGCTGTGACAGAGCTTTTGTACTGGAAAGCCTTTTCCCTGCTTGTGCAGAGCTGGCTTGCCAGTGGGATGCAGTCACAATACATTCCGTTTGAGTAACTCATGTTTCCTCAGGCAGGAAGTGAATTGTTGTTGAGAATATTACAAGGGAATGGACCCCCTGGGGTGTCCCCTCCAAACCTGGTGTTTGAGGAAGAAGAATTCATAATGCCAGTACTGGGCTGTGACACAAAGGAAAGGACCTATGGAATTTCGCAAAAGGGACACTAATGGTGTGGGGCATGAAAAATCTTTTGTAATATATGACTATCCTGCATATCGTGGGATGCCTGGCATCCCTCACCTCTCACACTAAAAGGAAGGCAGGCCCCTCAGTCACTGGGACCAGCAGAAACTCTCCCACAGTCCCCACACACTGCGAGTGCCCCAGGGACCGGGGAACAGTACAGCCCCTGGCTGAGACTCCTTGGCTCCTGTGCCTACCCTGACGAGGCTCCTCCTCCCTGAGAGCATAATGGAGAGCTGGATTAATCTGTGATCTTTCTATCACTTCCAATGCCTCTTCACTTTTGTCATGATTGCGCATTGATTGGAGTCACAATTCTTGGCTTTGAAATCAAGCTCCACCACTCACTGGGATTGACCTCGAATGTGGGCATGACCTCAATTATTTAATCTCTCTGTGCCTCAGAAGATTTTGGTGAAGGAGGAAAGGTGCTTACCGCACTGTCCACCGTCGGAGCTTTGGTGATTGGATGAGACATGGGAGCTCCTGCGCTTAAGGTCTTCCTCGAGTAAGGAGTCAAAGTTGATACTTCAAATGCAAGCTCCAGGAAATAAAGAAAGGCGGCATGGTGGGCCGGGTGGGAGTCAGTAAACTCGCCTCTACCCTCAGCCATTCATTACTGTGTGCCTTCAATGTGTCACTTTACCTCTCTGGGGTTGGCTTTCTGTAGCTATCAGATGTTTGCCCCAGATGATGTCAAAAAGACTGAAGGACATAAGCATTGTGAATGTGCTTTAAAACCTGTAGGATCTCACAAACGGTTCGATAAGATATAATAAGTAACATTATACCTTGGCGTTTCCCCCACCCCAATTCAAAAACTCCTGTCAGCCAGTTGGGAGAATGCTCTTGATGGGAACTTCTCAGGACAGATGTGTGAACCCGGAGGGCCCACTTGCATGGCACATAGCAGGGTGTTCCGCATGACACGGAATTGCTCTCTGTCACCTCATTCTGTTTTGTTTTGTTTTTTTTTTTACTTTCAATATTATTTTGTATTAGTTTCAGTTGTACAGCATAGGGGTTAGACAGTCCTATACTTGACTGTTTTTCTTAATATTCTCAGTACCCATAGTTATCACATTATTGTTGACTTTATTCCCTGTGCTGTACTGTACAACTTTGTGACTATGTTGTAACTGTCCATTGTACTTCTTACCTCATTCTTGCCAACGTGCCCCCCAAGGCACAGGAGCGAAGGCACCTGTGGGCACGTAGGCATCTCTCGTTAAGAGCTCACATGTGCAGGTCTGCACTTCCCCTGCTGGCTTCCTGACATCGTCCGATTGTGTTTGGTTCATTCACGGTTGTCTGCTTGTTATCCCCCAGCAACAAAGGCGAGAGAAGGAGCTGCGGAAGCAGCAGGAACGGGAACAGCGCCGGCACTACGAGGAACAGATGCGCCGGGAGGAGGAGAGGAGGCGTGCAGAGCATGAGCAGGTACAGCTGGGACCAGGGAGCCCCGCAGATGGCCCCAGAGCACCAGCTGTCTCTGGGGAATGGGCCACCTTCTCTTGAGACTGCTCAGTTTAAGCAGGTTTTTAGTCTTTCTCAAGCAACTGTTCTTACCCATTCAAGAAGTCAAATGCACAACCTTGGCAATGCCCACTCATTCAAACTTGCTTCCTACCCAGGGCGAGGTCCCCTGACATACCCTGATCTTTTGATTCTCCCAACCCTGGGCATCTACTGTGAAAGTAGCACTGAAGCATGATAAACAAGCCGTGTCCTACTCTTTCATTGCTTCAGAAGAGCTTTTCTACTCAGGCAATCTCTGGTCTCCATGACTTGGAGCCACTGATGCAGGCCCCCCTCCCTTTGTTGGAACCACATTCTGAGAGCATAGTAAAATTCTGCAGGGTGGTTCCGTTACAAAGATGGTGCACAATGGCACGCTTATTTTATCCCTGCTGTTTGCGCAGGAGCCTCCACTCTTTATAGCATTGTTAACTCCAAGTAGCCCATAAACAGGGAACCTGTAATGAAAAGCTTTAAAATGTAGCTGGTTTTATTAAAACCAAATAGTCGCAGCAAAGCACTGGGCCATCTTGGTCAGCTATTGCAGGTGGCGGGCTTGTGCTTTTGACTGCATTGAAATGCTTTTGCTTCGGTGTGGCATACTTTTCCTGTTTTATGAGGAGGTGTCTGGGTATTTTTTTTCCCTCCTTCCTTCCACACTTTACTTGGCAGCTCTTGTCACCTTTGAAATTACCAGTTCTTTTTCTCTCTCTCTTTCTCTCTTTGTGTTCCTCTGAATTCTCTGCTGCCTACCTCTCCAGGAGTACATCAGGCGACAGTTAGAGGAGGAGCAGAGACAGTTAGAGATCTTGCAGCAGCAGCTACTGCATGAACAAGCTCTACTTCTGGTAATGGGAAAGCCAAGAGCCAGCTGACCTGCTCTGTGTTCATCGTATGTGTGCGCACATGCATGTGTATGTGTGTGCGTGTGTGGTTGTCCTCCTAACGTGCCAGTCCAGAAGAGGAGCTCCTTCAAGCCTCATGAACTTCAAAAATCTCATAGAGGCTTCATACGTTTCCTGACCCAGTTTTCCGAGTCTCAGTACATTCAATAATACACTTGCTATGTTTTGTTTTTAACTCCATCTACCTGTAAAACTTTAACATGAATCTGGCCTCATTAGAACTTCAGACTTTTTTTGAGACCCGCTGTGTTTATTGCAGAGTGATTTTTAAGGTCATCAGCAACATGCTAGAATACAATCACAGCAAAATGCACCTCTTCCATAAAAGCCCACTCAGCTCCGCAGTCATGTCTCATTTGCAGACTATTAGTTCTGCCCTTATGATGGGAACATTTTGTGTTCGCTGCTCATGCAGCTTCCACTTGAAGTACTGTTTTTTATTATTATTGCAGTGCTCTCCAAATGAGCTTCTTGGTATCTTTTTTCTAACTGAACTTTTTCTTCTATAGCAGTATGATATCTTTTAGCCTGTATATAAGCTTGCTGATGGCTTTTGCTGATCCAAGTTCAGGCAATGTCTTTAGCTCCTCTCTTAGTTTTGTACTTAATTGTATGTGTTTGAATGGTTTAGTTACTAAATCAGGAAGTGGATGGCTCCTTATGGGGGTTGTATACTGACCATACAAATGTCCTCATTATTGCCACTTTCCTGGTTGTAATTCATCAAGGATAAGTTACTTTGCAATGGGTAATGTCCTTTAGGGACTGCCATTAAGGCAATTGTGTTTTCACTAAATGTCACACTCTGTGTAGATGTTAAGCCAAACCTGTAGCGTAGCTCTGTGGCACATCCTCATATCCTCCTGTCATTATTGGGGTCCTCTGTTATTTAGCATCACTTTTCACTCCACTGCATGCTTAGCTGGTACTGGCCAATGGTTTCTCTGTGGTGATTTTGCTACTCTTTCCTGATCTGGACAGGAATATAAGCGCAAACAACTGGAAGAACAGAGACAAGCAGAAAGACTGCAGAGACAGCTAAAGCAAGAGAGAGACTACTTGGTTTCCCTTCAGCATCAACGGCAGGAGCAGAGGCCTGTGGAGAAGAAGCCACTGTACCATTACAAAGAGGGGATGAGTCCTAGTGAGAAACCAGCATGGGCCAAAGAGGTAAGTCAGCAAGCAAGTGTAACCACACCCTGTTGGCCAGGCTGCTGGTTATCATGAGTTCATCCAGTGAAAGTGGAGATTCAAGCTAGTGCTGTGAATCTAGAAAACAGTTCACTGTAAAACATGCATGCTTTGCTTTTGGAAAAGCCATAACATTATTTCTGTAGAGAAATTGCAAGTCACCTTAATCTTTTTTTTTTTTTTTGATATTTGCAAATGAAGTGGATTTGTGTAAATAAAAACAAGGAGTAGAAAAGCCATTTCCCTTATAACAGCCCAAATGAGTTTGTAGCATGAGGATTTTTAGTGACTTTTCCATGGAATTATATGACTAAGGACATAAGGAATTCTAGGTAAAATCATTTGCCATCTATACCTAACCCCTGAAACTGGTTATTAGCATTGTCACTAACACTCCCTTTTCTTTGGTGGTACCAGTGGACACACATTGGCCTCAGACTTGTGGCCAATACTGTGATACTCACTTCCAGGGTCAGAGGTCATTTGTTTTACAATTACTTCCAAAGTAGTGGTCCTTGGCTCTATGATGAGCTATTTTGAAAATCTCATTAAAAACTGTTGGAATGGTAGGAAGAAAGGGTGATAACCAAATGGATAAAGCAAACAAACAAAAGAATAACTCCAGCCAAGACCAACAGCTCTTCTAGGCAATCATGGTATTGCCTCATGTGTGTAACACCCTGGCTTTTGGTTCTGTCATTCTTTGTGGCACCTAGTGATTTCCTTTCTTTTCTTGTGCGCAGAGCTCACCATTCAAAAGGATGTTGGCATTGTGTTGTGTTTCGTTCTAGGGTCTTCAGGTACTTACAGCTAGAATTTATTTCAAGTTATTTAGACTACAATATTACCAGAATCAGATTTCTTACATAAGAACCTATTTTTATAAAAATTTTCTTTTCTTTTTCTATTCCCTTACATATGTATAGAAAATGCTTGAAATGATGTCCTGCCGATAATGAGAGTTGTTTAGGGGAGGAAGAAACTACAGGGTTTTTTCTTCAAACATTTTTGTACGTTTATGTATTGTTTAAATCCTTTGTCATGAGTATGCACTGTTTTTTTAAAAGTTTTTTTTCTTTTAAAACTTAAAAAACTAAATTTGTAGAGAAAATCATTTGATTTGCTGTAAAGGACATTTTTGATCATTTTCCCTTTGAGTCTGTAAATGTGATTCACATTTACCTAGGTCTGTAGCACCTGCCTTGTTCTCTTAGATCAATAGTTCAACTTTGTGATCCTACTCCCAGGTACAGCGCCAGCCCCTTAATAACCTACTATTCTTCCAGCTAAGCAGAACCACTATGCTATTAAACAGCAGCTGATGTGCATTCTGGCTGGCAGAGATATGCCGCCTCCTTCCACTGCTAAACCATTTTCTAGCCAGGCCACGCTGAAGCCTTCAGCTCAGCCAGACTCACAGCTCCTGATTATGGCAGGTGTTTAGGAGACTGAAAAACTAGCCTCTACTAAGCTAATGCAAGTAGCCCCTGCAGAAATTAATGACTCCAGACCAAGACTCCTGTTTGAGCGTCACTCATGGGGGAAAGATGGAGCAGCTTGTTCTATTAGACTTGGTCTCGAAGAACAACTGAAGCCCCAGGAAGCCTCAGGGACCATAGTGAGATCTCCAAAGCAATCTTGCTCACAAGGATGTAGCCCAGCTCCAGAGTTAGAGTCTAAGGTCATTTGTGTGTCCTTTCCCAACATCTTCAAAGTGGTAAGCATTTGTCCATTACGGCAATTAACAAGTGCCTTGGAGACTCATATGGTTCTCAGGGCAGGAGAAGTATGAATTCATGCATCCTTACAAGTACCTTAACCTCCTCTGAGAAGTGCTGCATCGCTAAATGACCTCTCCTTGATGCCTTAAGAATTCCAGGCCCCAAGCATGAGATTAGGACAGGAACCCCTGCAGATCCCATGAAGACCGTGATTCCTTGCAAAGCATCCCAGAATTCCTTCTTTCCCCTGTGCAGCTCCCTCATGCACAAATGTACAAAAATGTGGGGAAAGCCTGGAGCAGTTCCCATGTCCTTCCTTCTGCCTCTACCCAGCACGTTCTGACTTGAACTTAACTACTACTTTGATTCATTGTTTTCTAGTTACCATTTGTCCTCATCATTAAATGTCCAGGCCTATCCTCTCTATTCAGAAATAGTTTACAGTTCCCGAACTTTCAGAAGCGGAGGCATTCCTGGGAACAAATCTTTGCAGACATCATCAAGGCAGTTTTCTAGAACTCCTCATACCCCTGTGCTTCCTGGCCAGGCTTCTAGCAGTAAATGGAGCATAGCGGTTGGGCACACAAATGCCATGGCTGTGTCATCAAGCACTCCCCATGGGAGGTTCCGTGGTCATCAAAAGTCTGGGCCAGCTTCGGGGGGTGACATCTTCCAAGATCCCTGGCTACTCTTAGCAGCTGGTGCTCCTCTTTCGGGCTTCACGAACTTCTAGACATGTGGGAACATTCTTTTGGGATTTCATGTTTAGTCCTATCTTCCTGGGTGTTGTTAACATAACCCATCTTTAAACTAACCATCAATCTATTCATGAACCAGTTCCCTAGTCTTAGAGTTGGTGTTCATATGTTAGAAGAAAGATGAAGCATTTAGATGATAAAATGAGTAACAAATGCCAAATTTAGGATTGGAATAACTGGTGTATTATACAAATAACAACAATAATTGTCTGCTGTGGTTTGATTCATCATTATTTTAACATCCGTTCCTCAAATAGGGATAAAAATGGGTGTGAGGATCCTTCATAATCTGTTAATGTATCTCATCAGCAATATACAAACTTTTCTTTTAGAGGATTATTTACAGATCTCTTTTCTTGCAGTAGGGAGGTAAACAACCTGGGTTGAACTGTCCTTTGAAGGTAGAATAAAAGGTACCATGTCTTTTTTCAAATGCATCCTCTGGCAGGATATAAATTTGATACCATCCTCACCAGGAAGGAGTGGGCAGCTGTGTCCATGACATGGTCCCTGTAATATGGGGCCTGTGCTTTCTGCCCCACATGCCATTGCAGACACCACCCGGTCTTCTACCCACCGCAGCCTCCTCTGAGATCCGCTGCAGTGTTAGCTGTCTACCTCAGCTCTGTACCTTCTCATCAAGATGGTTTTTCCTTTGGTTACTTTTCTATCCACTTCTCTTCCTTATTCCAAATCGACATTTGTCCTAAAATGCAATGTTGTTATCATGCTTCCTCCTCTGTGTTTTTGTCGTTTCATCTTGTGACACATAAGTCATCATTGCCTTTCTCATTATTTTTTTCCTTACTATTGGATACAGTAAGAACAAATGAAAATGCTTGATCATTGGCAAATCTTGTTGAGCTCTTTCATTTCTTTTTTAAATTAAATTTATTGGGGTAACATAGGTTAATAAAATCACATAGGTTTCAAGTGTGTGGTCCTATGTAATACATCATTTGTATATTGCATGGTGTGCCCACCACCCAAAGTCAAATCATCTTCCATCGCCATAATTGGCCCCCTTTACCCTGTACCACCCCTCACCTTCCTACCCTCTGGTAACCAACATACTGTTATCTGTGTCTACAATTTCAATTTTACTTTTTTTTAGTTGTTTTTCAAGTACAGTTTTCTGCCTTTTCCCCCTACTGTCCCCACCACCCCAGCCCTCCCTGTCTCTCTCCCCCATTTCCATCCCCCCTTGTTGTTGTCCACGTGTCCTTTATGATTGTTCCTGTAAGCCCTTCATCCTTTTCCCCCATTATATCCTCCCCTCTTTTTTGACTGAGTGTTTCTCTGTCCTGAGAATCACATTGACTTTGATTCTCAGATTTCAGTCAGAAAGAAACATTAATGTCTCTGTTAAAAGGAGCGGGGTTATTCTTACCCTGTTCAAATTCTCTTCCGTTTCTGGATTGGCATGGAAGTCAGTTTTGTTCTGTGAAAACATCGTGATAGTCTGTTAAACATCAGCAAAGTCTGAAGGTTTTTTTTTCTCACTGTTACTTTTTGAATGATAAAGATTTTTTTTTCTTATAATGGAACAGATTCCTTTCCTTAAAATTGTATGTGATTGTCTGTCTGGACCTGACAGTGACTGTGTGTGCCTTCCTACTCTGCTTCCATACTTTTATTTTATTTTATTTTCTCTTCCTTTCTTTCTTTCTTCCTTCCTTTCTTTCTGCCTTTTTCACCATTTGGCAGCAACAGAATACTCAGTCAACATGAGTATTGCATGAAATTGAATTTTAATTTTTTTAACATTGTGTCGTGTTCTCTCTTTATGGTGCATGCCAGTCATCTCTCCATGGTTTTACAATATTTGGCAAATAATAGGCCAGGATATCTCTTCGTGCCCCATCAGCTCATCGGACTTTGAAATCCCTGTGCATACGAACTCCTCCTCTACTTGGTTTTCTCTGCTCTACTCTGATGTGTTGTTTTCTTTATATGACTTATTTTACACATGAGGTTCCCAAATGGCCATTTTGAGAGTTAACGGCTCTGCTCCCATCTTTTCTCAGTCTCTATTTATCTGCCTTAAGATTTAGCTTGACAGAGATCTAGAAGGAAGCCGTAAGAAGTTTGAGTTCAAATTCTACTTCCTTGCTGTGTGACCTGGGACAAGTCTCGTAGGTTTCTTGCAGGGAAGCTCCCCACCTGTGTACTTCTTGCCTTACATTTGAGAGGATCCTGAGCAGTCACATATTTGAGTGTGCCATTGAAACTATAGGCACTGTACAGATGCACATGAAATATAATGTTTAAAATATTTACATGTTGTTCCCAAAGCCATTGTCATTCACAAGGAACATGCATTTTGCTTCTGTTTTGTCTGGTTTGGTTTTCTACATGAGCAGTTTACATGCATCTTTCATGTCCTATAGCTGCCCTTCCCCAGGTATAGATGCATACACCTTCATTTCCTGTCTCAGCTTAAGATTTTCCTCATTATTTTTAAGTTATCAGCTTCATTTTTATGAGGATCTATATTTTCCTATGAATCATTGGTTAGGATTTCTCAGAAAAGTAGATTAGGCCTTTATCTTCCGACAAGACTGCATTTTAAGCACTTCATATGAATGAGTCTTCCCTGCCATCAAAGGTGCCTCACAGAAGAGATATCGCCAATCTTATTTAGCAAGCCCATGTGGTTTTGCCAAAGGACAAAATGACTCAACTCTTCATGTGGCCAGCGAATGCAGGATCAAAGTCTCTAATGAGCACTTAGAAGTTATTTGTTGACTTCTCTCTCTTTCTCCAGCATTGCAGGCAAAGACAAAAATTCAAACTGTTTTGTTCAGTGGGAATAAAAAGGAATTCCCATAAGACTGGGTCCAATTCACCACGTAGTATCTCTTGAGTAAGGCTTTCTAAGACCTTCATGGCCCCCACAGGCTCTACATCATTAAAAAAAATATTAAAATGCACCCATACGACATAATAAGTATATTTTGCTGTCAACATCTTTTAAATTAACTTCCATAATTTTGTTTGGAAATTCTCTTAGCAAATATTCATTATTGCTAAGTGAGACATTGTAAGCTATAAATTGTTTTCAAGTATACAAAGCAATTTAACAATTGACTTGAATGTGTTTCCTTTTTTATATGTTTAAATATGTTTTTACTTCTCTAGAAAGATTTTTTGAAATTGTGTAATCAACAATCTTATTTTCAAGTCTTCTTTATTTGTGTAGCTTTTATACATCTCAGAGGGCTTAGATATCACTCCCATAGTACCCAGTGGGCAAGGTAGCTCTGCCTGGAGCAGAATTCTGTCTCTGAGACCACAGTTATATTTCCTTTCTCCCTACAATGCTATAATAAATAGTATAGCATTTCTGCAAAGGTGATTCAAACCTCTCCAAAGTTACTTTAGTATTGTTATTAAAATGATCCTTTTAATAAGAAAACAAAATTGCTTTTATAGTGTAATGGATGTCTCTCCTAATCTTATTCTCTATATTCATTGATAATCCCTTCAACTATGAAACCCTTTGTAGTAGGTTTCTTTTGTTTGTGGCCTGGCACCTTGACATTCTGTCTGATATTACTATAACAGTCTTTTTTGGTGGTACTTCTGGTATTTTACGTCTTCTTGGCAATAGGAGATTGGAGCAGAAGCTCAGCTAAGAGATTTTTTGGAGTACTGCACAAGGCAGATGGAAACATAGCTTTATTATACCCCAGGTTTCAATCACATATATCCTTATTCTGGGGTGGGATGTAGGAGACACTTTCTTCTTTTGTCTCGCGTACCTATTTTTCATTCAATTAGTAGACATGAGATGTGATGCATCAGGAGATGGGTCTTGATCCAGTGTCACAATAATCAGAACGGCCGGCTCGTAGATACACTGCTCAGCTTCTCCTCTATTGGAAATTGTTATTAGGATGTTTGATTTAATACCCTTCCTCTAATATTTATACTGTCTCTTTCATGCAAAAGCAATGGGCAGCATTATCTTCCTAAACACCTTGGCAAGGTTTTCTTCAGGCAGAGTGGGTAGCCAGATGCCCCCGTTACACCCTTCTCATAGATAGTCCAGTTTATTTGAACAAACTCCAACTCGGGAGATTTTATCACACTGGACCCTTTCTGGCATAATTTTCAAAGTGTAACAGAAGATAATTTATAGCATATACTTTAGAATGGCACAGACTAAAGCACTAATGGTATGATTTAGTATGTAAACTAACTGATACAAGGCATAGGAAATATTACTAGAAGCATATTAGTAACATCTATACATGACTAATCACACCCGTTACCTACCTATGAAAACCAGTACCCCACTCTCTGCGCTGTTCACTTCTAAGGACAGCTTTAGAGCCTGTGTGGCTTGTGGTTCTATCAGAGGCAAAGATGCTTTCTTTGCTAGAGCTTGGAGCTGGCAGTTGCCCAAAGAATTCTTTATCTCAGAAATGGTCTCTTTGCCCAAGATGGAATCTTTGGGGGCAAACTTTTTGACTGTTGTTTTTAATGTACTTCCCCTAAACATGTACTTAAAACTGTCTGAGGATACTTTACAGTTCAAAAATAACAATGGTAAGTATTCTTTACTCTCTGAATATATTTGGTTCTTGAATGTCAGGTAACAAGTGGTTATCGGTTGGATGGCCAGGTATTTATCTGAAAGTGTGTCTCAATCTCTCGGATTCCTGAGTTCAGACAGCAGTGGTTTGGATGGTAGGAGTTTATAGAGTCAGGGGTGTTTGGACATGTGATTTATCTGATAATGATCTTCCCTGGAAATGATATTTGGCTAATTCTAGTCATCTGGAAACAGTCACCTACTTTTCCAAGAGTCTAGGATTTGGGAAAACAGCACATATGCCTTGGTCTTAGTTTACCTATTGCTGTCTTTGCAGACTTTATCTTTTCAGTGGCCTTATCTCAAAGCTGGCTGTGTTTTTGCCTTTGCTTAGTGAAATAGCCAAATAATTATTGCTGTCATAACACTTGGCACACACACATACACAAAGTATATATGTTTTGGTTTATATTCCCGGCTTTTTCCAGCTAATCCTTTTTGGTGTGTGGTAAGCTCCAGGGACATGGAATTTCAAAACCAAAGCCAACTGGATGCAAGTTGTACATACCATGCACAGCCCTAGTGGGGGCAAAGATCTTAAAATTGCCCCAAAGCAGAGGCAGTAGGGCAGTTTTCTGTTCAGTAGCATCTCTTATGTTAAAATGTTTGCACATGAAAGTTTAAAAACAGACATTCTATATATGTGACTGAGTCTGCCACAAGACAGACTCAAAATGGGTTATGGAGGATGAGAAAAAATAACTTTTTAAAAATTTATTTCAAATCAGGCAGCAAAATGAATAAAGATTTTTAGCTGCTACATAGAAGCATGTCTTGCGGACCTGCATTGGGTTCCGTGGCAGGTTTGTGTGGTGCTGAGACAGCGAGTTGGCAGGAGGGAGTTACCTGGTGCCTTTGAAAAGTGCGGCTGTCAAGCTGACCCTGAAGACACAAAGGGAAGGTGTCTGGAATGTGAAACTTTCAGGGAAGTTTCAAGGAGGGAATGTGGGTGTTCAGAAGAAGCTACCCCAAGATGTGCCTCAGTGGTACACGGATTACTTTGAGCTAAAGGCAATTTTAGCTTCAGGCTCAAGTGAAACTTCTGCCTGTCCCCTTGACTGCCTAGAAGGACTTGCCCATAAGAAGGGATTATCACAGGTAACCTCTGTTGACCTACCTGTTGCGCAGAGCAAACTTCTGTTTACGAAATGTTTATTCTCATCATCCTGCAATGACCCTTTGAAGCACCCGAAGTGCATCACCTCATCCTTAGCACAGGATGTTTTATACACCTCAGTCCCCCTTTTTACCTCTGAACCTTTCCAACATGTGGGGTCTCTGACTCTCTCATGCATGCAGGCTTCCCATACATATCTGTGTATTAAATCTGGCTATTTTCTCTTACTTAAAAAAGAAAAGAAAAGAAACAAATGAGAGGACATGATGGATCTGGAAGTTCTAGACCTCTTGCAGTTATTGAAGACCTTAACTCATGCCTTGCAGTGTGCCTCTTGTTTATCTAAATTTTCCTTTAAAATTGTTCTCTGCAACATTCTGTATGTGCTGCAAATAGGTACAAAGGGCAACTGTTACCTGTAAGGTGGACATTCCTGGTCCTGTGAGCCTTCCCTGTGAGGCACATGATCAGTTATCTGCTTGGGGCTGAGAGAGACTCCTCAAAGACGAGAATGATGAGGACGCTGCCAGAGACGAGAGATGGTGGTCGGGGGGAGAAGAGGAGGAGAAGCAAGCATGAAGGCCACGTGTGGAGAGACAGGGAGGAGGAGGGCGAGTGGGAAACAGAGGAGTCCAAGCTGGAAATGGAAAGGATGAGGAGGGGTAATGTATTTTAGGGCACAGGGAGAGACAACTGAAAAGAAAAGGCCTTGAAGGAAGAAAAGGCAAATGATAGTCTAGTGAAGGCAGGTCTTGCTCATTAAGCGAGCCACCTGGAACCCCTGCTTGCCTATCAGTGGGGAACGGGAAGAAATGGAGGGTTAGTGTGCTCAGCTTGATTCCCTTGTCAGCCCTCCCGTGTTCTTCCCTCTCTGTCCCATGAGTCAGCTCAGAGCAATGTTTGGTTTTCCCAAGCGCTCTTAATGCCTGCCTGCCACAGTCCCCTTTGTCTCCCTCCCTGCCCCAAGATAATATCCCAATCAATGTCGGATGAACTCTTAAGCAGGTCCTGAATTCTCCCTGACTAAAACTGCACAAGATCAAGGGTAAGGGAAGAGAGATGGTTTAAGTGTTCTGTGTGGTTTTCATGCTAGTGTTTACTCTAACAGAAAGAGCTTTTTCACAAATTCTTGAGGCAGAGCAGACATGGAGAGTTTGGCTCCTCAAAAACAAATTGATCAGAGGGACAAAAAATGGCTGTGCAGGTGACTACAGAAAATCCGTACAGCTTCTAGCCATCTGTCCGTTGAAGCTCCTCTCTCTGTATTTGTTTCTAGGTGGAAGAACGCTCCAGGCTCAACCGGCAGAGTTCACCTGCCATGCCTCACAAGGTTGCCAACAGGATATCTGACCCCAACCTGCCCCCAAGGTCGGAGTCCTTCAGCATCAGTGGGGTGCAGCCCGCTCGGACCCCGCCTATGCTCAGACCAGTGGACCCACAGGTACATCTTCCCCTTTGTTCCATTGGGCATTTCTACTGGAAGACAGATTGACCTGCTGAAAGCCCGGAGCACGTAACATGGGCTCAGGCATAGAACCAGTCAATGTTGACCTTTAATATAGAACCTATAGTAACATATGAGGGCCCACTAAATTTGAAGGATAGAGGAAGGGGTGAAAAAGAAAAAAGCACCATCCTTTGAGCCAACTGCTCAGTTACCTCTTAGTAAATCAGCCTCTGGAGAACCTTAAACGTCTCTGTGAGGTGAGAATAAATGTCCCTTTCGTTTTAATTACCAAATAAAATTCATATAAGCCTTTGATATATGTAAACTATTATATTATCTTGTGTTCCTTGGGACCTTGGTGTGATCCTGAAACTGGAAAATTAAATGGGCTTGGGTAAGTTGTGCCTTCTAAAAGGGGTCACTGGACGGGCAGCATCACATAGCAACTTGGTAAAAATACAGGGTCTCGGGTCTACCTCAGACCCGCTGATCAGCAACTCCTAGAGGGGGCATGGCCGCCTGTGGTTCAACAAGCCTCCAGGTGACTCCAGTGCACTGTCGAGCTGGAGAACCACTGTTTTGAGCTATTTAAAAAAAAAGGTTACTCCACTTTTAGAAAATGAGGACCTTTCTGAAAATTTTAGAGGATTTTTAAAATTATGTATTGTAAAACATGAACTAGGATGTGAAATAAAGCATACAATTTCATGAAAAATAAAGGTAATGCAGCTACTTTCATCCAAATGTCTTCAGTGTCTTCCAGGCATCCACCTGAATTAACACTTGCATAAAGTACTTTGAGATCACCTTTGAGACATGTAATGCTATTTGATCTGGCATTTGCAAGAATGGTGCTGGAAGCAAGGATTCTTGATTTTAAGTCTGCCTTTAGCATAGGAGGTCCAAGAGTTTTCAGTCCCAGCCAGTTGAGCATATCTTGCCCTTGGTTGTTTTTAGTTGCATATAATTTTTCCATGCCTGACCTTCCATAGGGTGCATTTTTATATGGACTGCTCTCTTAACACACAAACTCCCTCTTTTAAAACCCCTGACTTTGACCTTTTCGGGCACTTTTCCTCTGGAAAAGGGGAGAGGGAAGGAAAAATTAATGAAACTTTATGAAAGTGACAAGGAAATGAAAATATAGGTATCCTATGATAGCTAATTGGTTAGCATTTTTCAGAGGTTTTGATTTTGGGGGTTTTTTTGGGCTCTTTTAAGTGGTTTGGGTTTTGTGCCATATATTTTTTAAATATATTTTTAATATTATTTAATATATTTAGTGATATTTAACACTAATATAAACGTGGTTATAGTTTTATTCTGGTTGAAGCATAACATTCAGCTGAACTAGACTTGGAGGATTTTCTCTGAACTATAGATAATAACATTTTAGATTTCAGATTCAAGATCTCACAGGCAAGAGGGACAGAGCCAGGCTTATGGAGGAGGCTGGGAAAATGCCCCCTAGCAGTCTAGGCACTAGGGTTTCAGACCTAAGAGGGTCTCATAAGTCCCTTGTCTAGAGCAGATATTAAATGAATGTTCAGTAAACAATTGAATTTAGAAGGCATTCTAGGTGTTTCCTCCATTTATTGAACACCACCAAATGCCAGGTAGAATCCTGGATTCAGGGATATAATGTTGACATGGCTCCTTTCTCCAAGGAATTTACCTTCATGATGGAGGGAGAGACAAGCTTACACAGCATTAACAGTGAAGTGTGAGCCATTCTAAAGGTGAAGGGCTCTCTGAAATCTAGATATTTTTTTCTGATCCTCACCTAAGGACACAGTTATTGATCTTTGGAGAGAGAGAGAAATATCCATGGGTTTTCCCCCGTACATGCCCCACCTGGGGACTGAACCTAGGGCACACCCTAGGTACGTGCCCTGACCAGGAATCCAGCCTGCAACCTTTGGTGTATGGGACGATGCTGCAACCCGCTGAGCCACCTGGCTAGTGCTGAAACCTAGATTTGAATAATTTGTCTTAAAGAGCCAGATTTCCACCAAAAGACTACGTATCTTTCCTGCATGAAAAATATCACCATGTGCCAAACTGTGAGACTTAAAACTTTTTTTAAAAATGCCCTAGAGTTAGGAGACATATAATATCACAAATGGTAAGAGCCAGTTGATCACAAAGCAGGATAGCTGAGCAGTTAGGTGTACCCTGGGGGCATGTGTGGGTTCCGGTCCAGGTTTGGGCTCGTGTTAGCTGTGAGATGTAGGGTGTTGCCTAACCTCCCTGCACCTTACAATCTCACGTGTAAAATGCGGAAATAATTGTGTCGACCTCATGGTGGATTTACTGAGTTCGTAAGAAGTAAGATATCCACAGCAGTTCTTGTTTTACAGTGCAATAGCACTCTTAAGTCAAGGTCAAAGATTTTAAAGAATGACATTTCTAATTAGAAGAGAAGTATTTATAAATGTATTGCTTGTCAATAAATGCTCACTAAAAGTTGTTAATATTACTATTATCACACTTATTTCACTGACTTCTTAGCAAGTAAATTATTTAACTTTTGGCCCTAAACCCTGATTCAGCCCTACACATAGCTCTAAATGAAACATTTTGAAGTGCTGTTGAAGGTATGCTGTAGACATCTGTGATGGGCTTCATGTATCCAATTCCAGTGCCCTAAAAGTTTATTTTCTCTTCCACTGAGTGAGGTACTAGCTTGTCTGATTTTTCTTCTAATAATCTGCTCTGATGTTGGTTTGATGCTCAGATCCCACATCTGGTAGCTGTAAAATCCCAGGGACCTGCCCTGACCGCCTCCCAGTCAGTACACGAGCAGCCCACCAAGGGCCTGTCCGGGTTTCAGGAGGCTCTGAACGTGACCTCTCACCGCGTTGAGATGCCGCGCCAGAACTCGGATCCCACCTCGGAAAACCCTCCTCTCCCCACTCGCATTGAGAAGTTTGACAGAAGCTCTTGGTTACGACAGGAAGAAGACATTCCACCAAAGGTAACCTTGCTGGGGTGTTCTCATTGTCAGCATCATCACATCGTCATCGTTGTTGATCATGATCATTATTATTATTATCCCTGTTACAGACCTTTCATAATAAGGGACATCGTGCCAAAGCTCTGCCCCTTGTCATGTCTGTTTTGGTCCCTCCTGATTCCCACGCTCTGACTTGGGTAATCATTTGTCATTTCTGACCTCAGTGTCGGCGGAAGAAACAGAGGCTCGGGTTGATCGGATGACTTGGAAACATATAGCCAGCCTGTATCCAGAATTAGGACTCTCAATCTTAAATATTCCAAACTACTTTTTTCACTATCCATATTAAGGAAAAGAATAATGAATATTTTTATTGCTAACTGAATCTATTACACATCTAGACACATTTATCTGGAAGATTAAAAACTTCCATATAAAAAGTAGAAAATTTATTGATTCCTATCTTTGGCAATACAAAGTGAAACCAGATTTCAGGTGGTCAGAAAATAGTATTGCTCCCAGAATATTTTTTAAAAGATTTTATTTACTTACTTTTAGAGAGAGGGGAAGGGAGGGAGAAAGAGAGGGGAAGGGACAACAGTCTATCGGTCAGTTGCCTCTCACATGCTCCCAGCTGAGGACCTGGCCCACACCCAGGCATGTGCCCTGGCTGGGAATCAAACCCGCTGACTTTCAGTTCACAGGCCAGCGTTCAATCCACTGAGCCACACCAGCTAGGGCAACTCCCAGATTATTTTAATTAGCCCCATTTAAGGAAAGCTTTTTCTAAGCCAAGTCATAATTTAATTCCAACTTTAATTCATTTCCAAGGATAAAACTGTAGGGTAAAATGACCAGTTATCCCCCATTGGACAGAACAGTCCTGAGTTTTGGTTTCTTTTGTTTTGCTTTTGCCTACAAAATTTGGCACTCATTCCAGAAACTGTCCTGAAATGTGCCCATGCATCTCACTGCAGACACTGTGGAAGTATTTCAAAATAGTGGAGAAATTTTTTACATCGGATTCTTCCCGATTCAGGATTGCCCTTTTTCCTGAACTCAGCATAAGAGCAACGACCCATGGGATATTCCAATTTCCAGTGATCAGCGCCATTGTTGATTCCAGAAAAGAAAAAAAAAAGTGATAAAAATAGATAATACCACCTGATTTCAAATATTGTTCCTCATCTTCCTCTCAAAAGGATATTATAATAGGATTTCCATGATTTTGAAAATGAAAGGAGCTGATAGTTTTTTGCCCATGTTCTCCTCTTTGGAAGCAGAGATGCCGTCAGAAAAGGTTATGTCGGGAGCAGACTTTAATGTGGAAAACGGGATGGGCAGAGGTGCAAACAGGCACGTGAGCTGCGGAAACCGGGAGTGGAGGTGGTCGGTCCACTCTCTAAAAACATGCAGACACACATTTGTAACTCTGGACCAGCTAGATCAATACAAAGATTTCAGGTTTTAATAATTCATTAGACTCTTTCTTCCCCACAGCTACTTACGTTTATAAAATGATAATGGCAAAATAGTAGTAGTAATATTTAATTTGATCAGGTACAAGTACTGATTTAACCATTTTACTTCACATCTTTCTAAGTCTTTATCTTAAAATACCTTCTAATAACTAACAAAATTCATATTAATGTTAATATCATTTACTATATTGATAATATTAAAACAAAGCATGTTTTAAAAATATCTAGCACAAAATGCAAAAACACTTTGAAAGAGACCCGCCCTCCTCCAAAAACAGGAAGAAAATCCGAAGCACCTGGTGAGTGTTTAGCCCACTCAGCTCTGGCAGGAGTATCTGTGTCCTCATTTCCTGGTCACTTTCATAAAGAAAATTCTCCTCCTACTCTTCCCTCATGTTGGACTCCTTTAATAAACTTACCATATTTGATTTCACTAAAAAATGTTCCATAAGAGAAGGCATACTTGAATTCTGACTTAGGCCCTTGCCAGATTAACTAATGAGACATACATTTTCCTAGAGTACCTCACAGTCCAATTGGTACTCAGTCTTTCTGAGGACGCTGCTCGTATTTTGGTATTAAGCTTGTTTTGTATCATGTTTGCAGATTGACCTTTCAAAGCACAGTGTCTTGGAGGTTGTTTTGCATTAATCATTGCACATTGATGAGGAAGTGGAAACATGCAGACCTATTGCCATGGTTTCTCTGAGCTCACTGACATGGGCTATCGCCCAAGTTCTAGCCTGATAGCCTAGTATCTCACCGGATCTCATAATTCCCTTATCTGTCTGTCGGTTGTGATGTGAGCTAAAAAATGAAACTCGATTTAAGTCTGTCATCTGATATAATTTCCAGTGATCAGGTGAGTTTATGGTACCCTAAAAAATGTCTGGTATCCACCACTCTTACACAAAAGAAGGAACTCACTGAATGAAAATAAATGATCTTGGTCTGTTCTTAAATTTGTTTTGAAAATTCCAGACCCTACTCCTTCATGGTTGTTGAATATGCCTCGATGGCTTTTGTTTGATTTTATTTAGGGAGTTAAATTAGTCTTGAGAAATTAAAGATATTTCTTCCCTGTTTCTGAGAATTGCTGTAACTCTTGGCAAATCTCCCGGAAGAAGTGGGCTGCTTTTCGGGCAGTAGTTGGTTCACGGAAGCTATTTTATAGAAAATATTTCTGATTTCTGCTTTTCTTTCAGGTGCCTCAAAGAACAACTTCTATATCCCCCGCGTTAGCCAGAAAGAACTCTCCTGGAAACGGCAGTGCGCTGGGACCCAGGCTGGGATCGCAGCCCATCAGAGCAAGGTAAAGGGGTGAGATGGTTAAGGCCAAGGAACAAGCCCCCACCCACCATGGTCGTTACTGCTTTCCTAGAAAATGCCCGTGTTCTTTTTTTTTGCTTCAGAGGCATATTGACTGGCCACCTGGACTGAAAACCTTGCCAGGCCAGAGCACAGGCCTTTTATTTTTTTCAGTAGCCTTTCACAGAAATCAGTGTACAGTGGGGACTTATGAACGAATGAATGAGTGAGTGAGTGCATCAATGAATAAATGAATGAAAGAGGCAATCCAGAAGCCAGTCAGGGGTGCTTTCCCGGACAGTTTTAAAAATTAGAGAGTAAAATGGCAAATCTGCTTGTAGTATCCCAAACCATCACTTCAGAGACCATTTTATGGAGTCAAGAGAATAAAACAGCCTGGTTTGAGGTGATTTTTAACACCAGATCAAGAAGTGTGTCCTGGGAACCCCTGAGACATAGGAAAGTAATTGTCAAAGAAATGCTGTAGCGACCAGCTGCAGAGCTTCCCTAAACGTAGCCAATTACAGTAGGATTAGCTCTCTCGAAGCAACCCCCTCTTTGGCATTATGGAGGGTCGAGGAAGTACAGGTATGCTTCCACTGGTAGTCCGTGCTCTCCGAGACTTTTCCGTCGTGATGTGTGATCCTGCAGTCCAGAAGGTGCATCTGCCTCCTGGTTGGTGTAGAGGTCTCAAGGGAAGCTGGAAAGTAAACAACATCTTTACAGTATCTGAGCAGATTTCATGTGGTAACAGATGCTGTTGGCTGCTCTAGTTCCTCAGAGTCCCTCAGATTTTTCGTGACAAATACACCCCTTTTTAGAACCCACTGAAATAGCAAATGGCTCTGCTGAGACTGTAAATAGGATGAGCTTGGACAGCCTGTTTTATTCTTCTTCATTGTGTTCATAATAAGAGAGGATTGTCCCTTGCTACTGAGAGAGACTAGATGATTATTTGTACATATCTTTAAAACATGGAATGCTTTTGATCATAAAGCTCTAATTTTGCTTTTTCACATGAAAAGCTCTAAGAAGGGGTCAGTCCATAAATAAGATGAAACCGTAAAGAGAATGTGAATCCCTGTAGGGCAAAGAAGCTAACCCATTCCCAGTGGAGTTGCCAATCGCAGGAAGCTCTGAATGGGCCATTCTTGTCCAGCGACTCACGGTGAGCTGGCGTTGGTGTAAGCGGCGCTGAGGAAGACTGAGCTGTCCTGTGACCGGAGAGCCAGCTTGAACTTGACGGTTGCCCTCTTCAGCAGCTGGAAGCCCCAATTACCGCTGCTTCTTCTCCTTTGAACTCTGCCCTGAGGCTCTGTTCCCTGAATCGATTGCTTAGAATCTTAGTTGCTGTAGATCAAGCATCATTTCAACTCAACTTTTCATCTTTTCTTTCTATCAACCAAAAAGACAGAGAACTATTATTATGTAGTCAGATTAAAAGCAGCTCTTTGTTCCCCTTGAAGTGTTATTTTAATGATGTCAGGGCCTAAGATAGTTGATGTGTGTTAGTCAGTGGCTTGCTAAACGTGCGTGTTTCCCTCAAAACCACTTAAATATTGTACTTTGCACAAAGAAGGCAGACTTTGTGAGATAGCTACCATTTTTCTGCTTACAGAGGAGGTGGGAACAGAGTGAGCTTAGAGTTAGTAATGACTTACCTGCACTGAAAGTCAGAGGTATTACGGAGGCCAGGGAGGATGGAGAATCCCCATCTCTGCCACAAGGACAATCCTACTAACACACCTGTTTCTAGCTACCACATGTCTCCAAGCTATCAACATTTAAGATCTGAATCAGACGCTGCAACTTTGGATTGGATTGCATTTTTAAAAGCTTAGGGTTTGGGTTTATTGTGATAGAAATAGCTTTAATTCATCTTTGCTGCATAACAAAGCACCCTAACACTGAGTGGCCTGAAATAATAACAATTCATTATTTCTCCTGACTTCATGGGTTGGCTAAGCAGTTCTGTTGGTCTCACTTGAGCTCACTCGTGCAGCTGCACCGAGCTGCTGGGTCAGCTGCACCTGCACATGGTCTTCCATCCCGGGCCTCTTTACTGTTTTCCCATCTCAGTCCAAGAAGGAAGGCCCCACCGCACAAGTGTCTTTGGAGACTCTGCTTCCATCATGTCTGCTGATGTCCTATTGGCCTGCAACAGGTCATGTGGTCAAGCCCCAGGTCGATATATAAAGGGCATGGACCCCAGGAGGTGTGGTCATTGGGGCCATTACTGTAATACAGAGACCCTTCTACATTATGATGGTCTGAATGAGCTCTTCAGAGTGCTTTTTGTACTATTTGTCAGACAGCTGCCCAACCGTAAAGCCATAAAAAAGGGCAGCTTTTAAATAATTCATCCTTTATGCTTCTAAGCTACCCTTTTTGCACTCGGTCAATATCCCTTTTTGTCCTCCCAGGCTTTTCCTTGAAATGACTCTCAAGGGAAGCTAGAAAACTAACATGTTTAGAGTGGATCCCAGGAAAGATTACACATATAATAAGGGACAGGTCCGGGATGTTTTGTTATCATTTTTATTTCATTTGCTTAACTCAGCCAATGTGTATCGAAAACCCACTATGCATAAGGCAATATGTTACCTTGAAACCAACCCAGTGACTCAACCCAGGCTGCCCGACTCTGGGGCCCATGGGTCAGAGGATAGAATATACCTGCTGCTCTTTGAAGCTGCAGGTCTTACTAGGGGCCAGATTCTATTTCTCGACTCTCCAAATCACCACTTGGAGAAGAGCCAAAAGGAGAGCAGTTCTATCTGTGTATATTGTAACATGATGGAGAAATAAAGCACTTTTGTGTTAGACCAGTGAAGAAAAAGAGGCAGAGCCTAGTAGTTAAGTTCAGTTTTCACTTCCTAAATCCAGTACAAATGACCTCCAGCTGCGAGGTGCAAGACCTTAGACAGCAACTGCAGAAGGAGTGACATTTTTTGATAATTTTGTAAACAATGTTTAATCAGTAAACTACTCAGTGTCCTAAATCGAAGACTCTCGGGTTAAAATGGGCATATACAAGCATGTGCCTGTAACATGAAGAAAAATCAAAATTTTACTGTTTTCAGTAGCCTTCCTTCTCCTAGAAAAGGAAAAAAATCTGCCTGTGATGTCTGTCACCCTTCCACTGTCTGCACAGGCCACGCTGAATTAAACAGAGCCCTGTAGAAAACAGGTTTTTAAGTAGATACAGTATGGAGGAGGTACAGCTGTGCTGGCATCAGTTGGTCAAGGAAATGTCACAGGGCCACCCCTGAGGATCCCTGCCTTCGGCTTGGTTTGGGGCGACTTAATATTTATGCCTTTACTCATGAAACACTCTGGAACATCGATACATGCAGAGTCCTGTTCAGTGTCAGTGAGCATGGCAGATGTTAGCTAATTTAAACCACATGGCCACTCTGAAGTGCAGACTCGAGTCAACTCCATTTTATAGATGCAGAAACAGAGACGAACACAAGTAAATTACCCAAGGTGGCAAAATTGGTGATAGAGCCAGCGTTTGAAACCTGGTAGTTTTGCACCAGAGTCCTCACTCTTGAGCAGCATGCCGGGCTAGCCCGTCAGCAGTGAATGCAGCTGTCACTGCTGCCTCGTTTTCCCAAGAGAAAGGGGGTCCTGGTCTGGTGACCGACACAGCACCATTTTGCCTCCACCTTGCTCACTATGTAATCTTGTGATTCTGTTAACAGCTCATCTGAACCTTATGGTTATTGATCCTCATCTTGCAATATTCATTCACTGCCTTTTAAAGGTTGTTGTCCCGTGGGGCCTGTTTATACCCCCAACATTTCCCTGAACTCGCTGGAACTAGAGTCCTCAAGTACTTTATCTCTTCCCTTCCTAGATGGCTAAAGTCTGGGCAAAAACACTGCTGCCATGACCCCCTGCCTTTCCGTCTTGAGTGCATGCAGCTGGGCCTTGCTCAGGCTGCAAGTTCAAGGGGCAGTTCTCATCGGCCCTATGGACTCCCAAACACCCTATGTTGTCAAGGTGATGAGTTAAATCTAAATCAGGGTTTGATTTGCTCATTTTTTAAAATGCTATTTTAAAAAGTTCCAGGCATTTTAATATTTAACCTTGACTCATGTGTTCTCTTACAGAAAATTCAAATTTGATTAAACAAGTACATTCTGAATATGAAAAGATTTAAATTAAGCCTGAAACTCCCAGTCAGAAACCACTAACTAAATGCTTAATTTCAAAAAATAATTCTCTGTCCTACCCCACGCCTGCCTTCTTACAACTCCTTTATCCTCATTGGCTGCGTCATCCAAGAACAAAGCAAAGTGAATTTTGGCAGTCCGCCAGTTAATTACAGACTTGGCCCACTCTGTAATCCCAAATTTATGTTTTGACTTTTTATATGAGTCAAGTAAATGGAACAATTGCCACATTTTTTTCATTTTCCCACATATTTTATAGACAAAGCAGCACACTGTCTGTGGGATGGCAAGTGTCTGAAGTAAAAGTCAGCATTTCAAGCAAGCTGTGTGAATGTTTTCAAGTTTTTACACACTTGGATCTGAGTAGGCTCAGTTCCTCAGTGGACAAGGGAAATCTGCTATTTCATGGAATTCTTCTGAAACTGACCACCTCTAAGGCCAGACCATCCAGTACTACATAGTAAGGAAGAGAAAGCTATAAACAGTATGGCTTTTTTTTTCCCAAAATACTCATACTTTACAAAAAAATAAGATAGAAAAGTCGTTTTGCAGTTTTTTCCCTATTTCTGCGTTTGGTTACTTAGAAAGGAAATACTTCTTTCAGTCTTCAGCAGCAAAAATAGCAACACTGTTAAGATGAGCTCCGTAGCGGGCCGGCTCCAGTGGAGAGGGCTTGTGCTAATGAGGCCCAGGTCCGGGACTTATTGCCCATGGGGACCAATTAGGCCTCACGGAGAGAACTGCTCTGAGTCCTTTCAGAGACACATGCTCATCCCAGCTGGTCCTGCTAATATCTATGGCCTTCTTTATGCTGGGACAACCCTGGCTCAGGCCTTATCATCAGACATGACAGCACCATCCTACCTGGTCAGCCTGCCTCTCTCCTGGCCAGTCATCTATAACCCCACCCTGGGGGACCCATGTTCTCTGCCTGGCTTCATAGGCCATTGCTTCATCCACTACCCATGTTTTCTGATGACCCGCTGTCCTGGGGTATTTCATCAGACTGGTGTCCCCTCTACACCAATAAGCCCAAGGAAAACCCCAGCCCCTGGGTCTTTGCTCAGGCTATTCCCCCAGCCTTCCTGCTCACCTCTCCAAGGCCCAGTCAAGTCCTGTCTCCTTCCTGATACCACCTTGCATGCTCTAAACTGCATACATTGTTCCCAAGCTCCAACAATATTGAAAGACTTTCACACACAGCATACAGAGTTTTGCCTTGTTCTATTATTTCCACAGCACGTACTCATCTCTAGGACTGTGTTACAACTTGACTATCTGCCCTGTGACCTCTGCTCCTCTCCACCCCTCATAGTGGTCCAATGAGTCCCACTCATTAAGTAGGTGCTCAGTAAACAGGTTTTGGGTAAATGATCAAAGGAGTGCTCCATGAGAGCTGGTGGCTGGATCCTCTTCCCATACCACAGCCCCCAGGGGAAAATCTCAGAACTTACAGCCACACTTCTCTCAATAGATTGCTTTTTCATGTGAAGAACACTGCATCACCATTGCACAGAATGAGAGGAACTACCTAGAAGCCTCATTGTGCCCATCCCTTTAATCTGCAGTGCAGCTGGTTAGCAATATAATTTTTAGAAGAAACTATTTTGTACTTTATTAACAATACATAAATACTTCCTGATCACTGCTCTTTAATAAAAGAAGACAATGGGAAGAATTTATTATTTGGAAATTAAAGAACATAGAATTGTCTCTCTATGAAAAATGAAAAAATTGAAATGTAGGATATTTCAGAAATATTATGCTTTTTGCATTTTAGATATTTTCCAAATCAAGGGCCTTTCCAGTATGGATCTAAACCTAATTTAGTCAATTAGATTCTAACAGTTTTTACAAAAATAGTTACTATATAAAGTAGAGCCATAAAAACATTAAGAATTTGTAAGTTTTCATAAAGTTTGCCCTGGATCACATCTGTAGTCAATTTTGCTGTTATGTCAGCTCAGCAACCTCTTTACTATAATAACTTAACAGATAAATTTGTTATCAATTTTACATTTATGTGATCAAAATTAATAAATTATGAAGACACTTATTTTTACATATAGTGTTTCCCAGGGCCTCCAGCCATGTTTTCCAATAACCCCAAATTTAAGAATTTTTAATAACAATCAAATTTCTTTAGCAGATATGTTACCACAAAGCAAGTTTCTTATGTTTTCAGAAAGATATTATTTGGTTTAGTTGCTGCTATGAGGATGCCATTTCATGTCCGGGTTTTGGTAGACTAATCGGCAAGTGTGTCAGAGAGGTTTGGGGCAGACTAATCTGCAAGCGTGTCAGAGAGGTAGGCAGACTATTCTGCAAGTGTGTCAGAGAGGTTTTGGGCAGACTAATCTGCAAGCGTGTCAGAGAGGTAGGCAGACTATTCTGCAAGTGTGTCAGAGAGGTTTTGGGCAGACTAATCTGCAAGTGTGTCAGAGAGGTTTGGGGCAGACTAATCTACAAGTGTGTCAGAGAGGTTTTTGGTAGATTAATCTGCAAGTGTGTAAGAGGTTTTTGGAAGACTAATCTGCAAGCGTGTCAGAGAGGTAGGCAGACTATTCTGCAAGTGTGTCAGAGAGGTTTTGGGCAGACTAATCTGCAAGTGTGTCAGAGAGGTTTGGGGCAGACTAATCTGCAAGTGTGTCAGAGAGGTTTGGGGCAGACTAATCTGCAAGCGTGCCCTATTATTTTCATATTTACGTGTGAAACATCTGACATGCAGCACAGGACAGAGTTGCCGGTATGCACTCAATAAACTCTTGAAATACACAGAGGAAAATGGAAGCATAAAATTACATTTTAGCATGATGCCTCATGGCATTCAAACCTGCACTGTTAGCAGAGATGGAAGTGTTGTTTGCGGGACTGAGGACATTGGGAACATGAAAGGGGTTGATGTGACATGAAAGGACATGATTCCTTTCAGCAGTGGGATGACAGTAGATTTGAGCTTTGAGTCACGGGTCACTGTATTATCTGGGCCAGCATTATGTTAAGACAAAAATGAAAAGGTCTGTGAGTTATAAAGTACAAATGAAGAGCTTTGTAGAAACCTTGAGAATGTTGCTTATTTTTATAATGAAGTCCTAAAAACCTCAGCAGTTGCCTCCCACCACCACCGCTTACATGTCCCCTATTCTGGTAAAGCTTCCACAGTCCCTGAAGGCGGCCCAGGAGGTGCTCTGCGCTCCTATATTGCCCTGTGCTCATTCCAGGCAACACGTGCATGCAGGTGTCTGTGTGTGTCCAGCTAAGCTGGCAGAGGGCATGGCTGTGTCTTGTTCACTATCGTATCTCAAATGCCTGGCCCAGTGCGTGGTGAAAACTGACAGAGTGAGTGAATAAATACTACAATTTGGGAAGCAGGAACGATATGAAGACAAATAATACCAAAAGGTTTTATTAAAAAATAGGGCTAGTAGTCTACCAAGAAGCTAATTTGCCCTTGAGTTAGTACTTAATAATCATTATTTGAAAACACACCTCCCTTTGATAATAGCCAAAGTATATAAAGGCTCCCTCCAAGAAATTGAAAAATGCAGATACACCACTAGCTATACAAGCAAAGGAATTGATTAGTCAATTCACTGAAGAGAAATTATAAATGGCAAATAAATGTGAGTAAAAATTAATGTATCTCAGTAGTAACATTTTAAACTGCATTAAAACAACAGGATACGAAATTTCTTAAAAATTACCAAACTGCTGATAATAAAGCATGTGGTGAGAATTCAGTGAGATGGACCATCACATACACTGCAGTGAAGACGGGTAATACCTGTGCACATTGACATACAGACGTGCACACACATACCTCCAGTTCATGCCCTTTCACGGGAAGAGTTGCAATTCCAGGGGAGAGAGACGTGATTGGATATTTTTACGCACATAGCTGTAGAGAGCTGTTCTAGTGTTCTGTGTCACAGTGATATCTTGGAAGCATGCTGGTGTCTAACAATAGAGGAATGGTTAAACAAAGTCATCTGTTTACTGGACTACTATGCAGCCATTTTTTTATTGTATTTTTTCCCATTACCGTGTATCTCAGTAGTAACATTTTAAAATGCATTAAAACAACAGGATACAAAATTTCTTAAAAATTACCAAATTGCTGATAATAAAGCATGTGGTAAGAATTCAGTGAGATGGACCATCACATACACTGCAGTGAAGACAGGTAATACCTGTGCACATTGACACACCCCTCCTCCCCCAGCAATCACCACACCGTTGCCCATGCCCATGAGCCCTTTTTTCTGTTTGCTCAATCCCTCCCCCTAACCTCCCCTCTCCTTAGCTGTCACCCTGCTCTCTATCTATGAGTCTGCCTCTGTTTTGCTTGTTAGTTCAGTCTGTTCATTAGATTCCATGTATGAGTGAAATCATATGGTATTTGTCTTTCTCTCACTGGCTTACATCACTTAGCATGAGGTTCTCCATGTCCATCCACACTGTCACAAAGGGTAAAAAATTTCTTCTTTTTTATGCTGAGTAGTATTCCATTGTATAAATGTCCCATAGTTGTTTTATCCACTCATCTATTGATGGACACTGGGGCTGCTTCCATATCTTGGTGATTGTAATGAACAAAGGGTTGCTTATGTCCTTTTGAATTAGTGTTTTGGGCTCCTTCTGATATATTCTTACAAGGAATTCTAGGTCAAAAGGAAGATCCATTTTTAATTTTTTGAGGTATCTCCTTACTTCTTTCCACAGTGGCTGCACCAATCTGCATTCCCACCAACAGCGCAAAAGTTTTTCCCGCTCTCCACATCCTCTCCAACACTTGTTGTTTATTGATTTATTGATGATAACCATTCTGATGGATGTGAAATGATATCTCATATGGTTTTTAGAAGCATAAGAAACTACTCACAATGCAGTGTTGGGGGGAAGCAAGCTGTGAAACTGAATATACAGTATGCTTCCATATACACAAAAGAAAAAAGACTGGAAGATGATATACCAAATATTAAAATATAGTTGAATATCTCTTAGTTTAGAGATTGCATGTGTTGCTTCCTTATTTTTATCTTTGAATATTTTTCAAGTTTTTTACAATGAGCACAGGATAAATGGTTTAAAGGAAAGCCTCCTTTGAAGATTCACCATTTCAGATCCAATATCAATACTTGAAGTGTGATGACCCAAGAGCTGAGTCAAGAGTTGATGCCCTCCAGATAGTGATCTGGCCAGGAGCTCCACAGAGGGTGGCATGACTATCATTTCCATTGACCAATTTAGTTCAAAGTCAATAAGCATTCTGTTTATCCCTTTGCACTGAGATGGGACTGACTGGACTATGCGTATGTCTACCAAGAGCAAGGTCTTGAGAGTGTAGTCATTGTGCTCTGCCATTCTTGCAGCAACCCTGACCTCCGGAGAACTGAGCCCGTCTTGGAGAGCCCCTTGCAGAGGACCAGCAGTGGCAGCTCCTCCAGCTCCAGCACCCCCAGCTCCCAGCCCAGCTCCCAAGGTGGCTCTCAGCCTGGATCACAAGCAGGGTCCAGCGAACGGACCAGAGTGCGAGGTAAAGCTTCCCCTTACCTTTCCCTGACAACATGGCCAGGCAAGGAGAGGCAAGGGCAGGGAATCAGGCTACTCCCTGACTTCTTTGACATCTGCTCCCGGCGGGGCCACAACTGTGTGATTCTGAAGAGACACTTAGCTGCTCTCAGCCTCAACATCCTTGGGGGAGTGGGCCACCATTTCCACTTATGTGGCATCTGGTGTGGACTAAATTCTTTCTTATCGGAAATGCCAATGTTTTCCAGGGAGATCACAGAATATTGGTCCTATTTGAAAATATAGTCACTTATCAGTCACCAAATTTCTACTTCCATGATGAGAGATTGCTGTGCCCCCAAGTATCCTATTCCCATTTTCCCCTTTGTTGCATTCTGAACATAGTTCATAGTACCAGTTATTTTTCAAAGCAAAATCCAATAAAAACCAATGTAGAATACATATATACTTGAGAAGAAATAAAATTTTGACTTAAAAAGTATATTTAACTCTTCTGGTTATTCTTATTAGAGAGGTAAAAAGTAACCTCTAACTATTTAATTCAAGTCATTCATCATTGTTCAGTTTTTATTAATGAGGGTGCTTGTGAAAAACATTAATATGTCCAGCTAATTATACATGACAACACATTATTTCTAGCTAATCTAAACTTACTCTTTCTGAATAACCTTCTTCGAAAGGTAATTTTGCCTACCAAGTAAGGAAGACCAAGACTTTTTAAAGTGTAATTTGATAAGTATTAACACACTTTTCTTAACTTTTTCACTAGACATATTCATAATTGACCTTCTAAATCTTTCTACGATTTTAAATAAATAAAAGTCACTGCCTGTCCATTTTGAAAAGGTTGACGTTCGACATGTGATGCCTTGTTTCTGACCCAGGATATGGGCCGGCCTGTGGCTGGCTGTGTATGTATTCTTCTAGCATCAGCGGCACAGCCCACGGCTGTGGACACTTTGTTGCCTTGATTCAAATATAAGTTTGCTTAATTTTGTGACTCCCAGGTTATAAGCCTAAATGTGTGTGTTTGATTTAGTTCACCTAAACATTTACTGTTTTGTGTTTTTTTTTCATGGATTTGCATGAGGATGTACCTAAGCGAATGGGTCAGCTGAGTAATCCTGAAGAATGACTCACCACAGAACTCCTGAACTTGAGCCAGCACTTTCTGACGGCCATTATCTTTCTTGGCTCTCTGCTTTTCCCTCTAGCCAACAGCAAGTCGGAAGGATCACCTGTGCTTCCCCATGAGCCTTCCAAGGCGAAGCCAGAGGAATCCAGGGACATAACCCGACCTAGTCGACCAGCTGTGAGTGCTTTTCCCTCCAATTTAAACTTTTCAATTACCAGAGAACCCACAGGATAAAGTAGTCAGGGGTACACTCATGACTATGAAATAAAAATTGTTGAGATTAATAAGAAGAAAGCGTCCAGAACGAAGTCATACCTGATGAGGAAAGAACTGATCTTGGATTACTTATCTGCCTTTAGGGACTTGGTGATCATTAGCAAGTAACTCATATCATTCCATAATTTTTACTCAGTCACTTTGGCAAAAAGATATTGAAATTAGCAGTTAATGAGATTTGGGCACTTTCTGTAGGTTTCTTTTGTCAATTCTGCCCTTTCCCCATATGATTTTCCATATGAATTAACGTTATAATTTTTCTGCTGCTGCTTTTCATGCCTCTGGGACTGTATGTTCAGCACCGAAACCTGATAAGCATGGCCTGGCAGGGGCCTGGTACCATGAGTTCTAGCTGCACCGCTGTGGCTCGAGAGAACCCAGGTGGCCTTAAAGAAGGAAGGAAGAGCACAGAGGCTGAAATCTGAAAGTTAGAAATTGCTTTGGGAAAAGTTACTATCCACTTAAATTTTTTGAGAATCTGTTCTATGAAATAAATGTGATACCTCTTTTTACTACACTTTAAAGTAAAGGAGTATAATGAGAGTAATCATGAAGGGAGTTTGCACTGTTCTGGGTTGAGGTTCTCTTTGCCCTTTTGCATTTGCTAGCTGTGTACTAACAATTCCCATTTTGTATCTAACTGGCTGCCTTTCTTCTGGCTTCTTTCTTTCCTGTGGATTCTTCTGGACTGGATTCTTCTTGTATCAGAGCTATAAGAAAGCTATAGATGAGGTTAGTATTACCTTTCTTCAGTCATGCTTTTACAAAATATAAATGTAAAACTGATTTCTGACGCTGACATTCAGAAAAGTGGCCAACTGGATCGCAGATTTGAAGTTCACTCATTTGGAGTGATCTGTTGGGAGGAGACCCCCTTCAATAGAAGTCCTTCTAAGACCCTCAGACATCAGTATAAAGCTCCAGAGATCTTCCTCTAGATCAAAAAGTCACTTTTCTAATGTGCCAGTCTGGCCAACAAATAAGCATTAGTGCTTTGTTATTGGCAGGGTTTCTCCTTCTAGTATCTTCCAGTAGCAAACCTGAGCTTTTTAACCTGTGCTTGCCAGACTTGCTAAAGGGTGGTAGTTTTACTGACAAAAGAGACATCATTCTAGGGCACTCCAGATTTATAGTGCGTGATTTGTGAACAAAGAGTTACTGGGTATTGTTAGATTAATTTTGTGGGACATTAACTACAGCATCAGCAACAACATCAACTTTAGTTAATGAATACTGGCGAGTTAAGTGACTTTATGTCCTTATTCATGGAGACATTTTTCCATTAGAAAAATATATGGCTTTGTCGATCTTAAGGAGCTTGCTAAGAAGGATGATTGCCTTACTGCTGTTTGTCAGACCTGCATGAATACAGCATAGTGTCTTTTTGTTGTTGTTGTTTGTCTTTTGTTTTTAAGAGACAGGTCTTGCAAAGAGTCCTAACTGCATGGAATCTGAAGACTACCATTGTGGCTTTAAGGCTGCAGCTCTGCTGAGCACTGTTTTTGTGAAACAATATGAAAACAAACACTGGCTCTGGGGTCAACAAGCTGCATTCAAATTCTGGCTCCCCCAATAACTAACGGGCTGGCGCCAGTCTACAAACTGTCTGGGCCACAGTTTTCTCATCTGTGAAATGGGGATAAAAACCCCTGTGTGGCCTCGCTCACGGGATTGTTTAGAGTCACTCAAGGTCATGCGTGTGAGAGCATTTCTGAAGTATGAAATGCTATGCAAAGCCAAGACGTCGTCCTCATATTAAGGTTTGGGCCAGAGGCATAAGCTCTTTTGGCAGGTGGGGGAAGCATGTTTCTATGCCTCTGATCTTTACCCAAAAGCCTCACTTTTTCAGCATTCTGACTGCCTCAAAACTCAGAGTGGTTTTGAAAGTAATTTTCACAGTTAAGGGATACTTGCCTATAAAAGAATGAGACTCTGCATGTCTACACTGTGTGGATGGCACTTAGAGAGTGGAAAAGGGGCACTCACCTAATCGCTCTGTGCCACAGCCTCGCTCCTTTCCCTCATATCAGTGAGAAGGTCAGGGATTATCACAGTTTTTATCAGTTTCCTCTCAAAGACTTGAAGAAAGAGAACCCAGTAAAATGGTTGTGTATGTGTACAACTTGAGGGAAATCTCATGAGTCCAGAAATTGGCATGGAGGTGGCTGTCATGAAGGAAAGGTTTCTCAAAGATTTCATCTGGTTAACCAGGAAATTTTAAGATTTTAAAAATTGCTGCATTTTGGTATACTCTACCACACTGGACAGAGATGAGAGGGGACAGTAGAGATATAAGTAATTATAAGTAATTGGGTAGGGCTGGGAGCTGTTTACCAAAATCTCTCAGGCCATGTGTGGTTAAAAAAAAAATTCTTCCACCCTCCCCTGCCCACCTCCGTGCGTATCACTATCCAAATTGCTAACAATACAGAATTACCTGGTTCTGCCTAACTCAGTGGTTCTCAGTCAGGGACAATTCCTTTCCTTCCCTCCACTTAGGTAACATTTGGCTAAGTCTGGAGGCAGTTTTGGTTGTCACAACACAGAAGTGGGAAAAGTGCTACTGTCATCTTGTGGGTAGAGTAAGAGCTGCTACTCAACATCCCACAGTGCACAGGAGAACAACCAGAGGGGACCATCCAGCCGCAAATGTCAGTAGTGCCACAGTTGAGAAACCACGAATTAAACCTGCCTCCCACCTCCGTTTCGATTTTGATAAGGATTCTCTCTCCAGCAACTGAATTGACATTTAGATAATCCAGGATTGAAAAGTCTTAAAACTCTTTCAAAAACTTATTGCTAGATTGATGGTTTGATTTTTCATAAAAATCCATCTGGGGGAGTGTCCATTAACTTGGCACTTGCTTTCCAATGGAATATGAGATTGTACAGCACAGTCTGTGATTGTTTCACACAACCTTTGAAAATAAATGTTCTTTAGAGTTTAGCGCAGTGAAATGTGTGGCATGAGTGTCACGGCACAAGCAAACCCTGGCTTTACCACTATTTTCTCATTAGTATGTAGGGATCTGAAAAGCTCCAGAGTGCACCCAGTTTGGAAGACTTAAGCAGTAACTAGGGGACAATGCTGAAGTGAAGCGATTTCCCCAAGGCTGTATCTTTAGATTTCTTAAGAAGGGGGGGAAATTTAATATGTAAAGAAAAGACCAGCTTTTAAATCTTTATCATTTTAATAGTTTAAAAATGGAACTAAAATTTGAATAAACTATATTATTTCTTAAAAGAGCATCCTTTTAGACAAGGTATTCATAATTGTCAGATTAAATAAGTCTTTTTGAATGAAAAATGACATCAACTCGATTCTAAAAAATGTTACATCAAAGAAACTGTTGAGTAAGGGCCTCTTAAATAGTCAAAAAATCTTACCACTTTGCCATATTTCTTTTATAGTTATACACTCTCAGATATTTTTATGCTAAATAGCACTTTTTCCCTGTTTTAAAACCTTTTAGCTTCAGGCTTGAGACAGTCAAGCAATAAATTACCACAAAAACTCATTATATGGAGAAAATTGGTATTGTCAGAGAATAAAACGTATGAGAATGGATCTGAACCCAGTGGTGTCACTGTTAGATCATGCCTGTTTCCTATAACTCTGCTATTGTACGTTTTTCCAGAGTGGCTGGGTAAGAAACCAAACTTCGGCAAACTACGTAGACTATTGGCAATGGAAGATTACTTTTTTTAGGCTGGGGTTATTACCATTGAGTTACTTATTTTTGTTACCTAGGGATTTTCATCTATGTTTCACCCTCCAAGCTGTTACCAATTAAGCTTAAAAAGAATTTGCAATTATTTTTAATGTTTCAGTAAAGATAGCTTTTTAACAATGCAGAAACAAAAAATTTAATTAAAAACAAAATTGTAAAGTCAGTCAGAACTTTAAAGTGTTCCTAAATACAGTGTTGGGAAAAGTTTAGATCATTTTCACAAGTTAGGGTTTCTTTAAATCAATGGGCTTTGAACCAACTAAATATTTCTAATTATTTTTTTTAAATCTCCTTTGTCTTCTTTTGAGGTGTCAGATAGGAAAACCAAGCCGTGGGGAAAATGTATTATTCATTTATATAAATCATAGCTAATATTATTATATTTTACTCAGAACTATTAACATTAGAAATAAACTACTTTAAACCATATTCTCTCTTTAAATCATAATAAAATGTATTTTTAATGACCAGTAACATTTTAAGTACTAGTTATATAATTTGATGAGGCTTAACATGATTCTAACATATGGAAGGAAAATCAAACTAAATTTATCCAATTTGTTATTATTTTAATGCTTTGGGGGTTATAATATCCTTTTTCATTCATAACCTTAACAAAGCTGAGGCTGTATTTTCCCAGTGTGCTCAAGTTTAGCATACCCTTCACTTTGCTCTCAATTTGATAAGGATAAACAATTGCCAAGAGGAAATAAAAAATAAAAAGCAGGAATTCAAATATTAGCTTTTCCAATTTTGGCCCATTGACAAGAAACCAGAAATAAATTTGCATAAAATTCCATTTGGTAATTTTTCTCTTCTTTAGTGGTATACATTATTATACTTAAATACCTTTGGCTCTTTTTAATATGTATCAGTTCTACTTTCATTTTCATTAATGCAGCAAAAGTGTGCACCAAGCCTGGGGCCATGTGTGCATGTGCCCGCCTGTGCACACATGTGTAAAAGCCCCAAGAGCATGTTTGGGTGAAAAATGTGCAATTTGAATTTTCAAAATTATCTCTTTTCCTAGAACTTCAAGTGACTTCAGAACAAATTTAAAAGTCATTATTGCTTTCCCTTTGGTTTCTGTGAAATTAGAAAGAAATGACTCCTTCATTTAACACCTTGAACTTCCTAAATTCTAGACCAAATAAAATGCCTGAAGTATTTCCTCTCCTAGCTTTAACCAGTATAGGAATGCCTGACATACAGGTTAACAGTAAAGAAACATGACAATCTGTGGTCTTCTCAAAATCAAATTTTAATTTAATCATATGCATTAATCACATTTTCTCCTAACCAGTTAGGATGGATTATCAAACATCATGTAGATCACGTACATTTGCTATAATTCTGCATCAGGGGAATTAGACGAGTCCATTTCTGGATTGAAATAAAGAGAGAATATGGCCATAAGAAAACTGGGATTTAGTATCTTTCATGAGTTTCTTTCTCCCTAATCCCCTGTCTCTCGCCGAATGTTCTGATTCCCACATGGGTCACTAATATAGGGAGAAATGGTAAGACTGATGTCAGATTGCTCTTTCCTCATTTGCATGCTATGTGCCATGGGCAGCTGAACCCATGCAAATTAGAGCGGCCGTGCTTTTGCAGAAAATGCTTCCCTCTGCATTGCTCGGAAAGCATGTCAAATAAAAGGTAGTCGGATATTCAGCACACTGCCTGCAGTATGCCTGGTGATTAAATACCACATCATCACATCCATCAGGCTAAAGGTTTCATCATACTCACGGAAAACTGAAAAATTATCTCTTCCTATTGGTGTTTGCACATTCATTTCAGTAGTCCTCGCCAGGGTGTTTGCCAGGTGACTGAAATTTAAACCCAAAGTAAATGAAACACCTATCATTCTGGAAGAGAACTTTTTTTTTGTTTCTTTGTTTCTCTTGATTAACTCAGCTCTGTGGCTATAAATTTCAGTGGCGCTGGGTCTTGGGTTGGGTGGGCCATTATTTGATGTGATGCCCCTGCTCCCCAGGGAATGATGACACACCAAATGAGTCATTGTTGTAGCTGGAATCTTGGGAATTGCTCTGTTCTGTGACTGATGCTACATTTTGGTACAGTAGCAATCCTAACAGTGGAAAGGCCATGCCCGTGGCTTGGGCAGGAGTCCCACAATACGGGGGAACAATTTCTAATCCCACGCATTTCCCCACTAACCTGAGGGTGACCAGCTTCACCTTCCCAAAATAAAGTGAGAACCCAATGTTTGTATATATGTGTACACATACAATGCCCATACACATATATACACATGTGCATTCAGAACTGAACAGTCTCAGTCTAGCAATTGGTTTTGAACAAAGTTTAAGTTTACTTCATCTTTTCTAGTTTCTACACGCTACAAACATTGTTTCCTTAGTTCCATGCAGTCACTATGTTTGTAACAATTCTATACAGAGCTTTTTTCTTGTTGCTTACGCTGGAGCACTGACTTGCTGAAAGATGTCGCTTTGGTTGTATCTGCAATTCACATATGCTGAACAAACTTTTCTTTTGTAGGATCTGACGGCGTTAGCCAAAGAACTACGAGAACTCCGGATTGAAGAAACAAACCGCCCACTGAAGAAAGTGACTGATTACTCCTCCTCCAGCGAGGAGTCGGAAAGTAGTGATGAAGAGGAGGAAGATGGAGAGAGCGAGACCCATGATGGGACGGTGGCTGTCAGTGACATTCCCAGACTGATGTAAGAGGACAGTTTGTAAGATTGTTTATGAGTCCCTGGCAGGATCAATTGACTTTGGGATTCAAATTTTTATTAGAGCATATATAGTTCTATGACTACCCCTCTCCACAGACACAGTTGCTTAGAATACATGGTGTGCCTAGGTTTGCATGTGCTTTATCTAGGCACTGTTGCTGGATTGTCTTTTTGGTGATGCTTTCTTGGTTCTTGTCATTTCCGAGGCAAATCATGTTGACAGGCAGGCTGTTTGACACATGCCTGTCCCCTAGAACTGAAGGAGTAAAATGATGGGCAATGACATTTCAGGGTTAAAATTAACAATCACTACTATCACCACTAAATAAAGAGGAATGTGTGTTGCAGTGTGGGGTGGCATCCCAGAAAAAGAGTCAGGAGTCAGATAATTCTGCAGGAGACTTCTGAGTGTTTGACTTAAATCTATCCCTCATGAGTCTCTATTTCATCTTTGTTGTCTCTTTTATGTGATCCTATTTTTGTGGCCTGTGACTTTGCCATGTACATTCTGTCAGTCTCTTTTCAAGCTTCTTTTTGGATATTTATATCTATATTTATACCTACAATGGGAATATCTATAATTCCCATTGTATTTATACCCATTACTTTTCTAAATGAAGGAGAGGCTCACTTTTTCTTTTTTCCATTGGACTAGATTTTATGAAAGAATCCCTCCTTCTCTCTATTTGCTTCCCTAGTTCTAACAAACATGTTCATACAATCCCGCTCATGGACATTTCTCCTTTCCTCCCCCAAAGAAACAGAGGAGCTGCTCTGGTTTGCTGTAACTTTGATAGAATGATGCTAAGTTTTCCAGCTTCATTTCTCATGCACCTCCATGTCTCTGGCTCAGCTACTGGTATTAGTCATCACACCCATTCACTTCCCATAGAGAAGATGCCATTTCAGGCCATAGATTACTGTCCTCTCCAGCAGGGATTAGAGACACAGGGCTAGCCAGTCTGCAGGGAATGTCACCCACTGATTAACGATCATTACATATATGCAATTCTGAGAGGCAAATCCAATTTCTGCAGCTGAAAATCCGTTCTTGTTATCTTACTGTTGATTACCCAGTTATTAACAACCATAAATATGCTAAAGTATGACATTATGAAACAAATTTCATTAAATTGCTTTTTTAACAGCAAATAAAATTGTTTTAAGAAGCAAAGTCACTAATCGAGAACATTTCTGTAAAATATGCTGGCCCTCTTGGTTTTTGTCTTGACTCAGCATTGGTTAATTCTCCGAACAGATGTTTTGAATTCAGTTCAAGCACTGAGTGTACAACGATCAACATGAGGGTGATAATGAATTTGAGAAGGTACTAAAGCTTTCACTATGTATCAGCCACCATACTGAGGGCATTGACACATTTAAGAAGTGCATACCTCAATTCTGCCTTCCAAAAGTTTATGTTGTAGTTGCAAAGAGACAAAATTACACGTGGAAAATTCCAGAGGAAAATAAATATTTGGGAGAATAACCAAAGACAGCCTTGGAAGGGATTTTCAATTGCATTTGGTTTTTAGGCCAAATTTTGCAAGCCTGTTATTGGTGTCACCACCCCCACACACACACTTCTAAAGGCAAATCCATCTTACCCCTACTACAGAAACATCCACCTTTCTAAAATTGCTTGCATAGTCCTTGCTGCACTTCTGCTCTACTGTCTGGGGCTCTCCTGTCCCTGTAGAAATCACCTGTGCACAACCCAGCCTACACAGGTGGAGCCCATCCCCTCTGTGCCGCCACTGTATCTTGAGTGTATTCCTGTAGTTTCCCATAGTGCCTCGAATTGGGATATTTATTACATGTTGTCTCCCTCTCTGGGCTGTGAGATCCCTGAGGATGCGGACTGTGCCTTACTCATCTCCCTACTCTAAACATCTTGCACGGCATCTGGAATAGAGTTGGTTCTCATTGACTTTGGTTTCTATTTAATTTTGCTAAACTGAAATGGCAAGTCAAGGCTTCAAGGAGTTTACAGCCTAGTCCAGAGGAAGGACATGCACATAGATAACTGTCATCAAGGTAGAAAAGGACATGGAATAATATTAGATATGGGGGGAAGGGCTGAAGTAAAGATCCTGAAGGTTGAGTTTGGTGGAATGTGGGATGTGTGAGAGGGGAAGTCTAGAGTAGCAAGCCCAAGCGAGAAGTGTGCACTTGATCATGTAGCCATTGGGGAACCATTGAAGATGTCTTGAGCTGGGGAGTGATGCAATGGGTGTTATGCTTGAGAGAAGTCATTTCAGCAAGATGATCTGGAAAGAAAATAGACTGGTAAAGCAATTCAGAGGATCTATTACCACTCCTGAGATTTAATAAATGGACTATCCTTGATGCTTAGAATGGAGGCACAGCCTAACATGGCTCTTGAAGAATTGGTATATTTTAGACAGATTGAAATGGTCATCCATGAAATAACATTTAAAATATTTAATTGTAAATGAGACATATCCAGAGAAAAAGTAGGATACAAATGTGTGTATATTCCAATTTAGTAAAAATATGCATTTTTTTATTTAAACTATATACAATCTGTTCTGCTACAGCATGATAGTTGTATGCCTAAGTTCACATATTAAAAAATTCATTATAAAACAATTATTTCTTTAGGAATAGGGTATTTTAGAGTTAGAGTGCTTCTTATATGCATTCTTATCACTTTCATTTTCTATTGTTAAAGTAAATCTTTACATTTTGTGCTGTGTATTTTTAGAGCAAAAAATAAAAGTATATCACAACATAGGTCACTACCATATAGTGCACACAAAATAGCTTCTCAAAAACGGAGCCCAGCCTTTCAGACAAGCAGCAGCAGATCCCGAGGTGAAAGCAACACCTTTTTCCATGTCCAGTGTTGGTTTCATGTTTATAGCTCAAGGCATAGCCTGTAAGAGTACACATAGTGAAGATTATATTCCCTAACTAATCAACTGTACTATTACCCAGGGACTCATACATAGTAAAATGAGTTGGGGGGAGGGAAATAGAGCAAAATTATAGTAATGGTCACCTCTGGGTGATACAACTGTAAGGGCTTCTTATTTTTTATATATCCAACAATTTTATGATGAGCATGTGCTATTTTTATAATCGGAAAACATTAAAAGCTCCGTAGACTAGGAGGATAGAAGGAAAGGTGTGTAAGTTGACTTGCATCATATCAAGCAAGTTGGAGAGGCATGCTTTCATATCAGAACAGCACATGTAAGGCCCGGCCCGGATCCCTAGGGATATCTGTTGCTACCCTAGTCAGGGAATTTTGTGCAGCGTCACAAAATGCATTCTGGACAACAAAAGTGACAAACCTTTGTGTCCCTTCCTTTCAGTTTTCACTAGAAAGCCATGGTCCTGACCCCGATGTCCATCTTGGGGATGATGGTATTTCTCCCTAGACCTGCAGTCGCCTCTGCCTTCCAGTCCATTGTTCAGGTTCTGGCCCTGTGAGTGTGTGGCAGTGGGACTCAGGTCATGCTGTATCCCCACTGCCCTACAGCCCTTTCCGTCCCTGGGGCCCGTCCTTGTCCCAGCATATGCTGCAACTGAACTAGCCTCATCAGTCCTTACCAATGCCTGGCAGGCTGTCAAAATGTTATTTCTTTTCCTGAAATGACCTCTCTCTTTGCCCCCCATGCTCACATACATCCTGCCTCATTTGAATATTTGTGTTATGTTTTAACACTTTTCTGGATGCTAACCTCTTTAGTTTCAGAATCCATGTTTTCCTCAGCTTTTATATTTACTACCTAGTGCCAAACCAAGGGCCTTTCATATGGCAGGTGTTCAGTAAATGTGTATTGAATTGCATTAAATCAATACTTGCAGGAACACTTTGACAAATGCAATTAGAGGAAAGTATTGTTTCAAACCTGTGGCCTAATTACAGTAAATTTCCTATAGTTTACCTCTAATCAGTGGAGGCGTTTTGTTTTTTACAGTCTTTGTAGGAATTTGACAATCAGCGTTTCCTATCCAGACTCTGTATCAGAAAAATAATTTTGCAACTAAGGATTATTTAACTATAAAATGCTCTAGTTGTTTTAGCCTTAGTATTTTTTAATCATTGCCTTTTTAAAATTCTTTTATTATTAATAAGTTCTTTTAGAAGTTTTAGATTTACAGAGCAATTGAGCAGATAGTACAGAGAATTCCCATGTTACTCCCCCCGCCCCCTGCACACAGTTTTCCTGATGGTGTTACAGTGTGTGGTACGTGTGTTGCAATTAAGGAACTAATATTGGTACAATAACTAAAGTCCATATGCAGATTTCTTTACTTTTTTACCTAATTACCTTTTCCTGTTCCAGGATACCACATTTCCCTTAGTTATTTAGTAGCCATGTCTCCTTGGACTGCTCTTGGCTGTGACAGTTTCTTACACTTCCCCTGTTACTCATGAACTTGGCAGTTTTGAGGAGTACTTATTAGGTATATTACAGAATGCTCTTCTGTTGGAATTAGTCTGATGCCAATTTCATGATTAGACTAAGGCTGTGGTTTGGAGGAAGAAGGTAACAGATAACATGTTATTTTTATCACATCATGTCAAGGGTGTATACTGTCAACATGACTTACGACTGTTGACGTTGACCTTGATCATCTGGCTGAGGTCGTGATTGCCAGGTTTCTCCAGCGTAAAGTGACTTCCCCTCCTTTCCTTACTGCACTCTTTGCAAGGAAGCCACTGTGGACACAGCTGCACGTAAGGAGCAGTTACGTTCCCCCTCTTTTAGGTGGGATGTCTGCCGCGATATATTTGGAGTTCTTCTGCACAGGAGATTGGTCTTTCCCCTCCATTTATGAACTTATTCGATCACTTCTATCAGTATAGACTCATGGGTATTTATTTTATACTCTGGATTATGATTCAAACCTTCTTCATTTTGTGGCCCAAATGGTTCCAGCTGTGACCACGGGAAGCTCTGGTGTACCGCTGCCTGACATCCCCCATCAAGCACTTCCTTAGTTTCAGGCACTATAAGATTTTCCAGGCTCATCTTCTATATTCCCCCTTCCAATCCTGATTCCAACTATTTCTCCAAGGAGTCCTCATTTCTTTTATGACAAATGATATTAGAAACCAAGACTTGGGCACTAGGTGTGCTCATTGCTACTGGACTATCATTTACTTTAGGCCCCCTTGACCGACAGAGCAAGGATATGTATGTGTGCATATTAACCCACGTACACTCATATATCTATCAATATTTCTATATATAGTCATGCACTGCTTAACGATGGGGAAATGCAGCATTAGGAGATTCCACTGTGTAAACTTCATGCAGTGTACTTACACATACCTAGATGGTATAGCCCACTACCACACACCTATATGGAGCTGGAGAAAACCTGCGGACACCTAAGTGGAAATATCCAACAGGAAGTTGAGTAAATGAGTTTCTGAGTAACAGTATTGGATATATTAATTTAGGGTTATTCCACACACGGGTGATGATTATAAATGGTTGTAGATAAGTGCTTTCCCAAAGGTTATGTATAGCGAAGTAGAATCCTGGGTACCGGTAGCATTTAAGAAGAGCCCATGAAGAAAACAGATAGGGAATGAAGAGTAAGAGGAAAACCAGAGAAAAGTTGCATCTTAATAACTAGAGAGAGAAGGATGGAGTGGGATGATTAGTAATCACAGACACAGGCAAGAGGCCAAACACCACAAGAATCAAAGAGTAATCATTGAATTTGCGAGCTAAGAAATGACTTAAAGTGTTTCCTGAGGTGCTTGAAGTCGAGTATAGGAAGCAACCATCTGAGGAATGAATCATAGCTCACAAGAAGAACTTTAAGAAAAGAGAGAAATTTAGACTTCTGCTTCCAGTTCTTTGTTCAAGAAGTAGCTCTTGGAGGTAGCGCATGGCTTAGTGTGGTCTTTGTCAGCTTCCACCACGGTGTACCATGGTCAGGGCCAAAAAGTGCAGAGGGTGATTGTGCGGCCATCAACATCATCTTCAGATACTTGCAGAATAGATCTCGGATTCAGGAGTGGCTTTTTGAGCAAGTGGATATGTGGCTAGAGGGCTGTATCATTGGTTTTGATGAGTACATGAACCTCATAGAATGAAGAGATTCACTCTAAAAGAAAGTCAAAAGAACAACTAGGTCTGATCATACTAAAAGGAGACAATATTGCTCTGCTCCAAAGTGTCTCCAACTAGAAGTGACTAATGAACTGAGAAATTGTTGCGAAGAAATATAGTTTGGGGTTTTTAGGTGTTCTTTGTTGGGAATAGTTCTTAAAGATTTATTCATATTGCTTTGATTATCCATATGTTATTACCAGATGACAATAAATGCTATGGGGTTGTTTTTATTTAAAAATGTACATTGATTCTTTCTAAGAAAAAGAGAGAAATGTAAGTGTGAATAGTAAGTACAGGTTAAGGTCAAGGAAAACGATTTAATGAAATGAGAGAGGGGAGAGATCTTACAATGACTGTTGGTCAGAAGAAAGAGCCAGTACAGAGGGAGGGACTGTGAAAACACAGGAAGGAGGAGGAGAAGAAATAACTTCAATTACCATTTCCCTCTGCTCTTCTGTTTAGCTGTGTCACTAAATTAGAACTGCCATATTGCTAAGTAATTGTTTTGTCTTTGCCCATCACTTTGTGTCCCTTGTTAGTCTCTCAACCTCCATGAGATTACAGTCCTCTAGAACTTGAGAATTATGTCTTACTTTTTAAATATTTTTTCTAATATTTAACACAATGTGTATCAGACAAACTTTTAATAAGTATGTGAATGAATGAATAAATGAACGTCCAAAGAGCTGATAAAGATCAACATGTCAGAGCGCTGAGCTCTAAGCCATAAAAGAACCATGCAGGGTCAGAGAGGTTAAAGGACATCCAAGGAAAATTCGTTTCTCAAAAGCCAGGAGAGAAAGAGGGACAGAGGGGAGTGATCAGTGACAGGTAGAGCAAGAAGTCCTCTTCTATGATTTAAAAATGTTCTACAATCCCTGAAACATGAACTGTGGCCTTCATTTAGCCTTTTAAAAGGAAACACGGAGAGACATAATTTGGAACAAGCAGAAATTTATGGGACTTTTCCATAACCGAAAGCAACTGCTTTATATCATACTACATAATAAGCAAAAAATTAATGGTCTCAGCAATTAATATGAGATACACAAAATAAACAAATATGTACAAAATATTCACAGTGCAACATATCAGACCTACACATAGAACAACCTTAAACTATTGAATAGAATTTGCCCACCATTTTAGAGGAAAATTGACTAAGGAAGAAATACAGATTACCTTTTATTCAATTTACAGGAAATGTTATTAGTAGAAATAACATTTTTTTAAAAAACCTCAAAACAGCCCAAACTCCTCACTATAAAAATTTATCATACATGAAGTAGTTCTGGCTCATAAAATTGATATAAAAATTGACTCAGGAAAAAAATAATCTCAGTAAAAACATTCAGCAAGAGCTGGAACTGGCAGTGGCCCACACTGTACACTGTAAAACTTACTATTGATTAAAAATTGACAAATCTTCTTAATAAAATGTACACCTTTAAAACTGATCCGGAAAAAACCAGACTTGGTAGAAGTAGTGATCACAGAAGCCCTTGGTGGATGACATGGACAAAAAAATCATGAATTGATATATCAAATCTTTATTATAAAACTTATATAGAAAATAATCAGGACCACTGATGATAATTTTAGTAAAATAACCCTGAAAGTGAAAAAATTGGGGAAGAGTTTTACTGAGATATGTGGAAAATTAATCAAGAAATTGTCTTCATGGAATTAGATTTAGAAAATACTTTTTATGAAAATTCATCCATATTGATATATTTCTGATTAAAATGTTTGGGTAGAATCACAATATTGTCAGGATAAAACAGTAAGTGGAGCCAAAATACCTTTGATCTTTGAACTCCCATGGGACTCTACTAGTGAAAGACAACTTGATTACACAGAGGTGGCCACTGACAATCTACTCCCCGACGGTGGCCAAGAATGCCCGCATGATGGAGGAAAAGTGGCTCCCTCCTAGGAGGCTTTAGCTCTTGAAAACTCCTTCATTTATTGATCTCTTTGTTCCACACCATCTTGTCCCAAATAAGAATGTAAGTCAACTAAAAAAAAAAACACAAAATTTTGAATACATGGGTAAAGAAATCCTAGTTTTGAGAACTAGTCTGATTTATTGATGTAACAATATGTCAGGAATTCATCGCAGCAGTTTCTCCTCCCATGCCTCTGAAATGCTGTTAATAGCTCCTTACTGGGAATGACATATTGAAAAGTGCTTCTTTGGAACTTTTTCCCAAACTTATCAGTTCTAACCCATATTTTAATCATTCAATTCACTGCTCTGATTTAGTCATTGTGAAGTAAGTATCTTGCTGCACATTTTATTTTGGTCTGGACTCATCTTTTCATCTCTGTTTAGGATAAAAATCCCTGACAGACGCCATCTCTGCCCCAGAGATGTCATAAGTCTGGAGTGTTTCTTGCTTCTTGGATTGACTCATCAAGTACTTGGACTTTGATAGGATCCAAGTAACCAGAGATGTTTCTAAAATGTTTAAAAAACAATTAAAAAAACAAAATGGTAGAAGATATTGTTAATACACCTCATGAGAGAAACAAACGTTGATACCTTTCCTATTTAAAAAAAAACCCCACTTTCAACAAGAGGCAGCTGCGGAAGTAGCATGGCAGTCAGTGCAGCGCTGAGAACAGAAACCTGCCCTGCGGGGGAGCCGCACCGCCTGCCTGGTGCTGCTTCCCCAGACCGCAGGACACACAGGAAACATCAGTCTCCACTGTCAGGGCCAGTGTCGAGCTCCTGTCACCTTCTCCATTACATATTATACACGAGAGCAAGAAACACACTGGAAACAAACATGCCACAGTGTGGGATGATTACAGAGCTTTAAAAAAGAACTGAAGACTGAGTTAAACAGCTTCATTGATGGATGCCCTTAATTGCTATTTCCTCTTTAGAACTAGTGTAAAACCCGTTGTTCAGACAGTTGATTTTTGCACTTCTACTCTGTGTTAACTCTGTGCCGCGTGTACAGGGCTGAGCAAAGGGACAAGGACTCTTTTCCTCATGAGTGTATGTCATAGTGAGAGACAAGGAAAATGTTAAAAGAGAATCAAAAATATAGAGAACTACCAATTGTGATAAGCATTACACAAGAAGGGTAGAGAAAGGAGAGGGTCCAGTGGGATAAGACACAGATAGGTAGTGATAAAGGCTGTTCAGGCTAAGTATCATTTAAGGTGAAATCAGATTCACGAGAGCCAGGGTAGGAGAAAGACTTCCCAGCAGAGAGAACTGCGAGTGCAAAAACGCAGGCCAGGGTGCCTGCTGGTCACAGGAGGGGCAGGGAGGGCGGGGAGATCCTGCAGAGCCCAGGCCCTCCCTCTGGCTGCTGGGTGGAAAGCAGGCTGAGAGGGGACGTTGACAGGGTGGGACACCAGCTCAGGCATCAGTGCAACATTAACAATGAATGTGGAATGCACGGAAGGCCAGTGGACTGGATACTTAAAAATGGTTAAAATGGTAAATTTTATGTTGTGCATGTCGTACCACAATAAAAAAAATGAACATGGACAGGAAACAGCATCCCCTCAACATACATGATTGTGAATATTATCCTTTCCCATCTCAGACCAACGGGCGCCCCCGGGGGCACGGAGCAGTACAACGTGGGAATGGTCGGCACACACGGGCTGGAGACCTCGCACGCAGACGCGTTCAGTGGCAGTATTTCAAGAGAAGGAACCTTGATGATAAGAGAGGTAAGTTGGTATAAAAACTGTGGAGAGGAAGTGCATTTCTTAATTGGTGTTTATATTAGAGTTTTCCCAGAGTGTGCTTATGGCATGTATTTTAAGTATGAGGGTAGGGGGCTTGTGTTTTTCTAAATGGTTGAGTGATTTTAATTGTCCACCACCTTCTTTCCTGTATCCTTCTAAGCTTTCACAGTGTGACTTAATTCCATTAGTCCAATTCTTTCGTAGGAGCTATGCATATAGGAATATAGAATTTGAGGCTGAGGATATAAAACTGACAAACCCAGGTGTTTTGCTCTGAATAGCATCTTTGGCCTGGTTATGCCTCCTCCTCTCATAGGTTTATCCTTCTGGATTTTATGTAGACAATGCTTGGTAGTTCCAAGAACATCTTATCTTACCTAGTTAAATCAACATTTAAGACTATGAAGCTGTATTGGTGAAAAAACAAAGAAGCATGCACCTTAGCACTTCGATTATTTTTTTAACTCTGGGAGCATCATTTCCTTTGGGAGGGAGGTCCACATGTTTCCTTTCACCTGTCCCTTCGCCATGCAGAATCTGTGCTAACCAGAAGGGTCATGCCAAATTATATATTTTTTTATTTTTTTATCATTTTTAATTAATGTTCAAATACAGTTGTCTTCATTTTCCCACCACACTTTCCACTGCCCCACCCACCCCCACCTCCCACCCCCAATCTTTGGTTTTGTACATGTACTTTAACAACCCTTTCCCTTCTTTCCCCCATTATTTCTCCCCCTTCCCCTCTGGTTACTGTCAACAAAACAAAAAGGCAAGCAAAATATAACCAGACATTGAAATTAAAGGCAAATTATAATTCTTCTTTTCTTCTTTTTCACATCATCATTATCATGCAAGTCTGACACCAGGTCTTTTCTTGGAAGGAAAGTAATGGCTGATGACATTGGGCAAAAGTTATTTGACCTCTCTTCCTGCATCTTTTTTATCATGTATAAATTTTCATAAATAATAGCATATGACTCATCATGTGATCAGGAGGATTAAATGAGTTAAGACACATAAGCATGCAATACATGCTAACTCTTTTACTTCATTCTCTCCATAGAGTTGAGCTCTTTTTTTACGTGTTATTACTCCCCACTCCTATCTCTGAAACATAAACATTTATCATCTGTCATTCTCCCTCCTCAGCTGGGACATACCGGGAAGCCCTAATAGCAGGCTTTGCTCTTCAGAAAGTCAGGGTCATCTCACTTTTATGAGAAAGTAAGGTACAGTAGTTTTAGGATGAATAAAGCCATTGAAGAAATAATTGGCAGCAGGGCTAAAACTGGAAGAGTAGTTCACAAAGCAACTTGTTAGAGTTTCATTTTATGGCCTTGCCGAATCTTTTAAGTAGACGTTAAAGAGTCCTCTCACATGAGCTTGAAATGAAAAATGGACCTGGCTGCTGAAGTTAACGTTGGACAGTGCCGGTGTATAAATCTTCCAGTGTGGTGAATGGACAATTCCAGCACATGTGTGGAGGGCTTCTATCACTATGGCTTGCCACCTGAGAAAACATGAGGAAAAATGTTCTGGAGTGAGTTACTCCCTGACTCCAAATAAAAGGATCCTGATTTCTAATGTGGTTTAAAATTTGCTTGAATCTTTACAACGGAGTCAATACCTGGAAGCAGATATTGTAGCCACATTTCCATTTCAATTGCCAGACACATCCAAATGGCTGCATGTTATTTAAAGCGCTCCAATATTCTATGACCACAATCAATCACTTTGAAACTAGGATTCACCACTATCCCCTATGAATTAGACCTGTTGGGGGCTCGAAATCTTTTTATCCTCTCAATTTTTTTTTTACTTTTTATTTATTGATTTTAGAGAGAGAGTGAGGAAGGAAGGGAAGGGGGCGGGGAGAAACGTCAACTTGTTCCACTTATTCATGCATTCATTGGTCGATTCTTGTGTGTGCCCTGACCTGGGGTCAACCCCACAGCCTTGGTAGATCACGATGATGCTCTGACCAGCTGAGCTACTCGGCCGGGGCTCTTTATCCTCTCAATTTTTAAACTCTACCTTTCCCAAATGTGGACTTTTAAAATAGCAAAACTTAATTTAAAATCCATTAAAAGTGTAGATGAGGTCTGTCCAGAAAGTATGCAGCCAGGTACTATGACAAATAGAGACATTTATTGAAGAAGATACAAGAAACATTGTACACAGGACAAGGATGCCTCAGTCTCCATCAAAGTAAGCATGTTGGCACCTCACACAGTTCTGCCAGTTGCCATCAGCTGCCCCATTGTATTTTCCTGAATCTCATCAATGGTCTGAAATTTCTTCCCTTTCAAAGGTGATTTTAGTTTTGGGAAAAGTCAGAAGTAGCAGGGTGCCAAATCTAGGCTGTCAGGGGGCTGAGTCACCTGGATGATTTGATGTTTTTCGAAAAAATTCTGTACAAGATGTGATGCATGAGTGGGCATATTGTCATAATAAAGCTGCCAATCACCAGTTGCCCATACCTGCGGTCTCCTGAATCATCCAAATAGTTTCCATGGAGGAACATTCAAGTTTAATGCAAAAGTTGATGCAGATTCATTGCTCTACTCATTCTGTCATTATGAATTTGATGGCCACACAGTACACATGCTCACTCAACAGTGTCTGCCACTCTCACCTGACCAAATACAGTGAAGTCATCATTGTTCACACATGTACATTCCAGTCCACTCTCCGTGGCTGCCAGGCTACATCAATTTTGTGCAAACCATTCTTGTTATATTAACAATGGTTGGACTTTTTCTGAACAGACCTCATATAGTAAAAAAATAAATGCAAATTAAAGTATGTCCCTGACAATAAATAAGAAAATAAAAGAAAAACTTATTATAATGGAACTTAGTTTATAAGGTGCTATTAGTTTAGTCCCTGAGGTGAGCATCAAGGAGTGCTTGCTCAACTCATCCTTCTTATGGGAGTGGACTAGCTGGTTGTATAGGAACGTACTGTCTCCCCTTCCCGTGATCTTGTCCAATACACTAATTAGCCCTTACAGTGCACTCCCCTGCCCCTGTGTCTCTACTTTCACTACCGTATGGCCCCACCAGACCTCTCTTCACTCTAGTTCTACGACGCACCACACCAGCTGTCACCTGCCTCTTTGTCCACAGGGCCCATCTGTTGGAAGAACTGGTCTCCCTTCCCTACCGCTGCCCCTTCTTCACTGAGCAGCTGGTGTGGGTCTGGCTCAGCCTCCCCTTTCTCCTTGAAGCCTCTCCTGGGATTCCGTGGGCCTCGGTCCTTAGCACCTTCATTACTGACCAGCTGATAACCTCCCAGGGTCTGCCCACCCCAGTGAACCAGAACACTAGCTTATATCATGAAGCCTCTATTGTTTCCAAGTAATAGGAAAAAGAACCCACATGAAACAGCTTAAGGACAAAAGTGGAGTAGGTATCAGACATGGGGAATAAAGATTTAGAGGGTGTTTCATCGAAGGACACCAAAGGCAGAGTGGGTTGGGACCCCATGTGGGACTATGCAGGCTCTGAAAAGTGATCAGGAGCTTAAGCAGCTTCTCACGTGCACATCTCTGGCACCTTTGCTGTTTCCTCCACACGTCTCCTGTGTTCTGTGTCTCCACCAACCAGCTTTCTCTCCCTCCACGTGCACGTGCTCTCATCCCCCAGAACCCCCATTGCAGGACAGTCACCACATCCCAGCTCAGCTGTCCAGCAGAGACTGACCAATATTCCTCAGTCCTAATAGTAAATTCCAGTGGGAACCCGATCCTCCTTGGCTCAGGTGTCCACTCCTGGTCCAATAACCTGAGAGCAGAGCCACCTGGCATGGCAGCCACCCAGAGCACCTGGGCTTTGCCACCGGACAGCCTTGGTTCAGACCCTGATTTCACCACTGGAAACCTGTGTCAGTCGGGGCAGGTTAATTGAACTTTTTACATTGAAGTTTTCCATCTATGAAATGAGAAGCTAACCCATGGTGTTACTGGGAGGATATAAGCATAGAGTGTTTAGCATGGTCCCAGGCATGGGTTGAAACATCTTAGTGTCCACCCTCCTGGAAATGGTGAGGGCATGAAGATTATAGAGATCCGAGGGGTTCTGTTAATAAGGCCCCAGCGGTCCAGGGCTATTGTTCACTTACTTTTGTATTCCCAGCAGAATGCCTGGCACAGAGAAGATATTTAAATCTGAGGAGGTGCTTGCTGGTTGATTGAACAAAAGGGTGATGACCCAGAAGTGGGAAGATTCAGGGGTCATTGCTGGGTTCCTTCTAGCTTCTCCCTGTCTGGGCCATTCCCCTTGATGAGCCTCTTCGGGCCTAAGAGAACCCCTGTGCCTGCATCAGTTTTTGACTTGAGGCAGAATGCTGCTGACAGAAGAGAGAATGCAGAACTCTAAAGAGATAAGGTGTGATTTATGCTCCTGGAAAGTTGGGGGAAATATTCGAAAGCTTTCCAGTATTTGAACAGAAGTTAGAAAAACAGAGAAGCTGCCCAGTACACATAAGAGAGGGACAATAAAATACATCAGTGTGGAACCCCCAGAATGTCATTAGCTGGTGTAATGTTCACATGAGCCCTGTGGCAAAATGAATCCAGAAAATACCTCTCTCTGGGACACATTTTATAGGCCAGAAGCATGTGGACAAAAAATATAGAGGTCACTAAGGCTTTGCAGTTACTTCTCAAGCTGCCTAGGAACATTAATTACATACATCCCTTCTGGAACTTGGCAATCTGCTTGTCTTGCAAAAAAAAGAAAAAGAAAAGAGGAAAAAAAGCACCTCTTTTCCCTTCTAGCTAGAGGCAGGTGCAGAACTGGAGTTACAAAAACAAGACAGTTTCTGGAACGAAGAAGCCAGTCTGATGAGGTGGTCACAGAAACAGCATGAACCCTTGCCCACGGCAGCCAGCCCCAAACAAGGCAGGGAACACATCTACCTTGTTCCTGGATGATTCCTGAATGTTCAGCAAAACGCCTCACATTTAGTAGGCTTCAGAGATGTTGGGTAAACAAGTGAAAGAAAGGGCAAGGAAGGGAATCGTTACTAAGTCAGGTGTGCTCTAAGAGCCCTCAGTGAGCTAGTCGCATGAGTGTTAACTTAAAAAGCGCAGTGCTAGCCAGGACTACAGTGTGGTGGCCATTGGCTTTTAGGGAGCACAGTTGTCCTTCAATCCCGTATTTTGTCCCTGGGATTTTAGGAAGAAGGCTTTGCTCTCCCAGGCAGTGATTTACAACGTGTTGGGTCAGGCAATTCTATCAGTAAAAATGTTACAGCATGCCACAGAATACAGTGTATTTATTTACAAATCCTATATTTGTCCTACTGCACTAACATATTATGTACATTATAAAATACCTTTAAAGAGCATTAAAAAGAGATACATAAATGGTATTCCAAATGCTTTACTAGTCACGATGGCTTCATTTTTTTTTTTAACTAGGTGCTGTCACAAGGCACCATAGCTGCTTCTGAGAAATTCAATATTAGTGGTAGTAGATTGTAAATCCATATTTTCAAGTAATCTTTGGATCTTCATCATGTTTTGGGTTTTTTTGTTTTGGCGGGGGTTTTTGGAGGTGAAGGTTGGTGATTTTTTTTTTTTGGTAATTCCTGTCAGATCTGATTAAACATCGTTTTGACTTCGTGACTGCCAAAGAACCCTGTGAGTTGGGTATCATCCTGCATTTTCTTGGCGTACACATGTGCATGGATTATTAGTACCATTTCATCCCACTGCCTCTTTTCAGCAGTACTTCAGAGCATGTGTCTGTTGTGTGGGTCTGTGTCATTATAACCTAGTAACATGACTCGCAAATTCCATTAATTGATGCGCGTGTACAGGAACACACACACAAATACTTGCAAGTGCGGGCCCTACCCAGCCCCCACCTGCAGCATTCCTGTCTTCCCACAGTGAACCCCCACATTCTGTGTGACCCCGGACTGCCCCTCCTGCAGCAGCATCAGACCTCAGGGTCAGTCCGTATACTAAATATTAGCAAAGCTTAACGTCCTTCTTATCTTCTTAGGTAAAATAGACGTATGAATGGAATCTTCCCACACTCCAGTGGGTGGATGTGGAGACGACTTCGCCTGTGCTGTGTGAGGGGTGAGGTCACTCCGTAGCCTTTGCTTCCCCCTCTGATGCCCCTATGTGTTTGCCCCTCCTCCCCCCCAGACATCTGGAGAGAAGAAGCGATCTGGCCACAGTGACAGCAATGGCTTCGCCGGCCACATCAACCTCCCGGACCTGGTGCAGCAGAGTCATTCCCCGGCTGGAACCCCGACCGAGGGCCTGGGACGCGTCTCCACCCATTCCCAGGAAATGGACTCTGGGACTGAAGTAGGTGCTGGGCAGCAGCCATGACAGCTCTGCTCTCTTTCAGGGGGTTCTGAAACCCTTCTCTCTTCCAGAATGAGTCTTTGCTGAGCTCCCAGAAATGTGCTTGGTTGTTTTCTACTATATAGCTACTTATGCATATCCTCAGCTAGAGGAAACCATAGAAGCAGACCAGTGAAAAGTTCTCAGATATCATCTGGACCAACACCTGATTTTACAGATGAGGTTCACAGAGACTAAGAGCCCTGCCCGAGGCACAAGGCTGGTTTCTGACAGAGCTAAGACCAGTACTGGGACTTCCCACCTGCCCAGCCAGTGGTAGGAACTTCAGCCTATAGCGATTCCAGGGCCAATAGTTGAGGTTCGTATTTATAAAAATTTAGTCAAACTAAGTTTGACTTATATGAAATGAGGTTGAAATGACTTTATGAAATGACTTTATGACTTTATGAGGTTGAAAGGAATTTTATGAAATTTCATAAAAATGTATTTTATGAAAAATAAAAATCAATAAATCAATACATTCTCAAACTCCAAATAGATGCTTTGGAAACTCTAAACTGCATGAGAAAGAGAGAATGGGACATTATCTTTCCTAGATGGAGAAGGTCCTGTAAAAAAGCCTTAACAGATGTGGTGTGTTAGGTAGTGCGTGTAGATGTCATTGACCACACTGACCGATAAGAAGAGCTCACAGCCCTCCTCAGTCATATTTCATGAGTAGTCCTATGAATCACAGTTAGGCCCTCCCTACGTGGGTTTATAAAGCGTGTGCACTGTTGTTTTTAACGTTGTGCACTAATTTCTTGTGATCCATGCTTTGGATTGTAAAGTTACAGAGTGAACAAGCTTTGTTGACCTAAAGGAAAAGAACATAGTGGCATATTCACAGACGTCTTCTAAAGATCAGAGGACCCTGTGGATGTGAAAGTCCTCTATTTGGGAGGGGGAGTCCTACCCTACAGAAGATGAAGTGGTCTTGATTTTATAAGGTGGAAGGTAAATCTTGAATTAAATCAGGTGGAATCTTCATGGTTTTCTTCTTATGTGTTTAGGGATCTTGGGATGTTGATTATATTTTTAAGTAGATACCTAAAAATACAACTAAAAACATAGTTAAAGACATTTATACAAAATAAAAGAGGTGCTTCTTATGTTGAGTGCAGGTCTGTTTGTGACATTAAAAGAACTTGAAATAGTAGAAGGAATGAAGAGGACAGACAAAATGGAGGGATGGTCATTGAAGCTCCTTTTACAAAACTTAAACATGGAATATCGTCACATGAAGCCTAATGTTTGAGTTTACTGCTCCATAGTCTAGCTCTGACTTCATGTCTTCATGGTGCTTTCCAAGCCCTTCAGATTTATTTTTTAAGCCAGTCCTCAAGGTGCATTGCCTGCAAACCTGGTATTTTCATAAAGTCCCCAAGGAAGGCATGTGAATGTAAGTATCCTTTTAAGGGCATTGTCATGCTAAGGAAAAATCTTTTCTTCCTGCATGAAGTTGTCCCTGAACTAAAGATTGTAAGGCTTCTTGTAACCAATCCACCTGCATCACAAGGCCAGTGTGGAAGGGCCCAAGTCCCCAAGAGAGAGCCTTTGGTTGACCGTGTGCTCAAGCCAAGTGCAACTGTGAGGACATGCTTACTTAGTTTATTGCCAACTGCATCACCTTTTAAGAATAGCTGGTCGATATGAGATTGTTTTTACTTCAAGGGAATGGTAAGCTCTGTCACCAGTCACCTTACTACATATTAAAGGGCCACATACGGTCCAAAATGTAATTTATTCACTGTAACTCTAGCAGTCTGGTGACGAAACCCTGCAAAGGCACAGTGGCTAGGAGTAACAAATGCCAGGAGAAGCTGGGGAGAGAGGCATGCACTTTGACCAGGGTTTAGAGTGCGAACATCTGGACAGACTCAAGAGTCTATAATTATGTTAAAGCCCAAACAAAGTACTGTTAGCATTATTTGTTGATATAGTATTTATTGACGTGTTCTTATTCTTCCTGCTTTTTGGTTAGTATGGCATGGGGAGCAGCACTAAAGCATCCTTCACCCCCTTTGTGGACCCCAGAGTATACCAGACATCCCCCACTGATGAAGATGAAGAAGATGAAGAATCATCAGCCACAGGTATGTGAGGTGGCCCTGGTATTTTAGAAACAGGTTGGCTTTCCTTTCTAGTATCACTTGATAAAAAATCAATCATTAACTAGTTCTGTAGTTAAGCCATTTACTCCTTAGGCCCTGTCTTAAAGGAAAGATTTTTATTTTTAATTATTACTTTTGTAGAATTCTTAAATTTTTTTTTCCTTTTTTTTATTTATTTAATTTCATTTCTGGTAGGAATCCAAAGGTTTCCAGGGGCCCTAGGAAAAGCTGTTCATCAGAGATCTCCAAATGTAGCACATATTTCTGAAGATCAATTTCTGGGTACAATGCTGTGCACGCAGTAGACAATAAATGGGTGTTGAGTTGTGTTGAGTCCTAGGTGTGTGCTTCCTACTGCAGAAGTCTGGCTGCTTTCAAGGAGAGTCTTGCTTTCTAGATTTCTGCACCTCGCTAATCGTCAGACTTACGCCAATTTGTCAGTTGATTACATGGAATTTCAAAAAGTAATTCTTTCTTGCATATATGACAGGAGATGAAGGTGGTATATTTAATGTTGTCAGATGATTATCAAGTTCCTAAACTACTCATGTGATGCCCATAAGCCTGTTTTACTAATGGGTAAAATACTGCTTCTATGAGTGACTTTTACTTTATTCTACTAAAAAAATGCAAAGTTTCAGAGTTTCTTTGCCTTTGCCTTAATGCACACTAAGCAAGAAGAAATCATTATGTTTTGAAGCTGCTTCTCCATGACTCCACTGGCTACTCTTTAAGGTGCCGCTGACTGCTCTGATTCTTTTTCCCAAAGCTCTGTTTACTAGTGAACTTCTTAGGCAAGAGCAAGCCAAACTCAATGAAGCAAGAAAGATTTCAGTGGTAAACGTAAACCCAACCAACATTCGGCCTCATAGTGACACACCGGAAATCAGAAAATACAAGAAACGATTCAATTCAGAAATACTTTGTGCAGCTCTGTGGGGTAAGTTGGTGTTTTCTGCCACTCAGTAATGAATTGACCCTCAAACATTTAAAGCCTGTGGATCTTACCATCAGAAGAGCTCTGCTGGAATCATGGGGGTCAGAGACCTGACTTGGAACTCTCTTGGCCTCAGGAGCAATAAAGAATAGTTTTATATGTCACAGGAACTGATAGCCTAATTCTCAGGATCACAAAATGAGATTCAGAACCATCTTACATAAATGGTGGACTCAAGCCAACAACAGACCTAGCTACCACCAATGTGCCCAGCACTGAGTAATGTGCCCCACTTTCTGTGATCCCTACAAATCTTATGAGGGGAATAATGGTGTTACCTTTATTTCACAGCTGGAAAATTAGCCCAGCATATTTTAGTGAATTGCCAAAGGCCACTAGGTAGTAGCAGGATAAAACTTGTAAAGAACAACAGATGATGAACCTTCCCTTTTAGTTCAAGACATCAACCTGTAGTGCTTGTGAAAATGATCTGCAGGTTTCAGCTGACCTCAAACTCAGTGTAGGCATGATGAGATCCTATCAAAGCTTTGGTTGGTGTTACTATAAATATCTTGGACTGGTCAAGGAAAACATGGCCCATCTCTGTACCCATCTAAAGTGCCACGCCAGGTTTGGACACTACAATTTTATAAAGACAAAGGCATTTCAGATGTTAGTGGTAAGGAGTGTGAAGCCCAAAAACCATTTCATGGGAGGCATAAGGGAGAGAAGTAAGGCTTGTCCTCTGAAGAAGGGATAACAAACAACAAGCAGGGCATGTTTAATAGTGAATACGTAGATGAAAGAGCAGACACTGATGTTCCTCAGAAGATAGACATACAACCAGCAAGAGAAATTAGAAAGTTACCTGTTCATGAATATAGCACATTACACAGTGGACCTCTCAGTGTGTATGTGTATGCTGTGTGTTGGGAGCGGGGGCGGGGGGGGGGGGTGGGCAGTGATTTGCTTAGGGATGAATTCTTAGTATTGTAGCTATCCAGACAAGACTGCATACCTGCCAGAGCTTTCTAATAGGGATTACTGTATGGAAGGTGGGCTGGACTAGATTTAAATACCTAAGAAGTTTCTTACAGTCAATATTTCTGTGATTCTCAGGCTATTGACACCTTTGCTTGAATTATTTTGTCATATCCTAACAGGGAACAGAACCTTAGGACATAGATTAAGCTGTGATATGAGGAGGAGGAAGGAACTTTTTATTTTACTATAAATAAAAAGGGTTTTTACTTCCAGAGGGGGTATGGATATGGGGCACTGTTGTATGTTGGAAGTGGATAAGCTAGAAATCACTGCATGCGTAAGGTGGCCGTGAGCCTTGGGGAAATCTTGAAGTGGGATTTAGAGAGCCGAGAAAGGGAATTAGAGGGAAGGAACAAAGGCAAACCGTGGTAGTTTCACAGCTGTGCCTAAGGCTCCTCTGGAGACGGACTCTTTATACTAGGTAGTAAATGGCTAGGTGTAATAAATGCTGCTACCACTTCATAAATTAAAACTAATTTCATTTCCAAAGAGACAGTAATTTAATTACTGTGTCAGAGCTTCCACTTCTGCACTCCCAGCTATAGTTCCTGCTTGCCCATTAGTTTATGTTTACAAGGCACCATTTCCTAGGTTTTACAGGGACCCCAGATGCAGGTTAAAGCCCATACAAGTCAGTCTTGAGGTGCTTCTTAAATTTGCAGGTGTAAACCTCCTGGTGGGAACTGAAAATGGCCTGATGCTTTTGGACCGAAGTGGGCAAGGCAAAGTCTATAATCTGATCAATCGGAGGCGATTTCAGCAGATGGATGTGCTCGAGGGACTGAATGTCCTCGTGACAATATCAGGTATGTGACTAGGGTGACCAAGGCCTCCAGGTCTGCACAGATAGGAAAGGTGATCACCTCATTTCTGAAGAAACAGTAAGTTCTGCCCTTCCCCAGCTGACAAGGGGCACAATAAATTATAGCAGTATAGCCAGGGTGAGATCACCTGCATTTTGTAACTCTGGCAATTCTGACCTCTAAAGGTGAGTCTCTCTCACTTGAAATCTGAATTAGGCAGGGACGTACCACAAAGGCTTACCCCTGTGGGCCTTTACCCACCATCAGGACTCAGCAAGGGTGTTTTCAAGGTGCCTGCACCCCCGTTGTTGCCATCTACTCTCAGAGGGGAGAGATCAAAATGTAGGCTTCTGGGAGTGGGAAATTTTGTAAGCAGAAATGTCTCTGGTCCTTTCTCATAAGAACTGTTCTAGCTTAGAGTCCACTGATATTTTAGCAAGTGCAGCTGGCCCACTGGGTGACTGAGTCTGCAAAGAGATTTGACTGTGGGAATTGTTACTGCTACACTCTGAAGCTTTCTGGTTCCCAAAAAAGAGCTTTAAAAAAGATGGAGACAAAAGTGAGGGGATATGGAAAGTCTAGCCTTCACGCCAGACCAGGGGTCAGAATCCCTTGGGCTCAGGCACCCACTGTGTTCGTAGCTCCTGAAGTGTTTCCAGTGTGCAGCCAAGTTTGAAAACCGTGGTTCTACATGCAGCCGTTGTTTAGCAGAGACCATGCAGCGCTACTGGACTGAACCTTAAACAAAGTTTAATTCTTCAGCTGGACTTCTATTTTGAAATAAACGCCTTCACTTGATGCCGCAGCTCCCTCTTTCTTTTACCCTTCCACCAAATGCTCAGAGATTCATTTTCATATTCTCCCCACATAACAGTTAACCAAGAAATTCTTCTTATATTATCATTTGAATTTAATTCAGTGTAGTCCTTTGTTCTGGTTAATTGCTTTCTTGATTACTACACTACCAAGTCAAATTTAAAAGTATTCCTCTGCTAGTCACCTACCAAAAGTGGAAACAATACCGGGAAATTCACACTCAGGCTCCATTATGTATTGAGTGACACGTTCCCATTTTTAGAAGTATAGGCATTTACTCTTCGTGAGGCATAGGTGGAGAGAGAAGAAGATGAAAATAGAAGCCAAAGATTCTTGAACTCCCTTTGGGTCTGTGTTGGCATAGAAAGAGGGAAGCACTGACTCTCCTACTCATCCTAGCTACTATGATCAATATGTATTCCAGGCTCTTGATCACAAAAGGAAATAGTAAGTGCACAGTGATTCCCTTAATTTATGTCATGAATGCACTCTCCTGTGAAATGCAGTGTATGATTGCTTTAATGAATTTTCTTCTGGTAAATATTACATCTGTAAAATATAAAACATCTTCTGACACCTAAGAGAAATGAAAGGAAGATAAGTATCCAAGAAGTGAAACCCACAGGCCTAAATTTATGAACACTTAAGAAGAGCCACCCCAAGGGATATTTTCTCATCTGGAGCACAGATGATCTCATGGAGTATCTTAAAGTGTGCTCAGTGTATACTCTTCAATGTTTTTAAGATTTTTTTTTATCATACTAAAAAAGTCTTTATTCCAGGATCACATGACCAAAGGGAATTTTTAAGGTTTTTTCCAAGTACTCACCTATTTTTTCTTCTCTATTTTTTGTTTGGTATTTCTTTCTATGATCTCAGCACCATAAATGCATCCAGTGTTGTTTTCTAAGCTCAGATTACCTTCATTGAACTTGTTCCTCTTGTTCCTTTACAAATTCCTCTTTTTGTTAATCAGGTAAAATAAAACTACCACCAGCTATCATCTTTAAAGTAATAGAGGAGGTAAACAAGAGGCTCTCCATTAGCCTGTGCTGTTAGGTTAGAAGATGAGAGGAAGGCAGTCACACATACGTATGATAAAAGATCCAGTTGTCAACACTCCTACATGCATGGAGATCTAGAATATTCTGGAACTCTAATCTGTTACAGAATTAGGTTTTGCCTAGCATAATAGTCTCCACTTCCATCTATGCTGTCGCAAAAGGTAAAGATTCCTTTTTTCCTGCTGCATGGTATTCCATTGTATAAATGTACCACAGTTTTTAATCCACTCATCTAATATGCTAAGTGAAATAAGCCAGTTGGTAAAAGACAAATACCATATGATCTCACCTATAAGGGGAATCCAATAAACAAAATAAACTAATGAACAAAAGAGAACCAGAGGCATAGAATCATGGAATAGACTTACAGTGGTAAGAGGGGATGGGGAAGGTGGTAACTGTTTGAAAGAAGGTGAAGGGATTAGTCAGAGAACATGTATGAAGGACCCATGGAAATGGAAAACAGTGTGTGAATTGACTATGGAAGAAGGGATGGGCTGGGCAGAGGAGGGTGAAGAAGGAAGAAATTGGGGGCAACTGTAATAGTATAAACAATAAAACACACACAAAAAGAATCAGGTCTCACTGAGAGCAGCAGTATACTACTCTTTGTATAAAGAAGAGAGAGTAAGAACAACATGCTCAAATAAAATACAACCCGAAGGCAAAGACAAATTATAAAATTGTTACTTGGACTTCCAGTCAAGATGGAGACATAGGTAAACACACTTTGCCTCTGCACACAACTACAGCAAAAATTACAACTAGACTGCAAAACAAATATCACCCAGATTCATCAGAAAATCAAGCTGTATGGAAGCCCGACAACTAAGGATTTAAAGAAGCCACATTCACCCAGATGGGTAGGAGGGTGGAGACACAGAGAGGCACAGAGAGGCGGTGAAATAGGCAGTCTCACATTCCTGTGTGGTGGATGAAAATCTGGGAGGGATACCTCGGAATCAAGTCATCCCTGCTCTAGACCAGACCACCCAGCCCAGGGTTCCAGCACCAGGAAGATAAGTCACCATAACTTCTGGCTGTAAAAGGCAGTGGGGGTTGAGGCAGAAGAAACTGCAGGATTCTCAAGAGACTCCTCTTAAGGGCCCACAACAGATATAGGACTCATGCAGACCCACCTACTCTGGGATTCAGCACCAGGACATCAGCTGGAAGGGCACGAGTAGCATAAAGGGAGAAGGAGAAAAAGCGAGGTGACTGACACCTCACTTTTCATATAAGGACTTGGTAATGATGAACTCCTTTAACTTTACCTTATCTGGGAACTACTTTATCTGTCCTTCCCTTCTCAGTGATTTAGATCCTTGCTTTTCATCACTTTGAATACATCTTGCCAGTCCCTTCTAGCCCACAAAGAAGTGTCTTTTGAAAAATCAGCTGACAGCCTTATGGGAACTCCTTTGTAGGTAACTCTCTGCTTTTCTCTTGCTATGCTTAAGATTCTCTCTTTATCTTTAACCTTTGGCATTTTAATTATGATGTGTTTTGCTATGGGGTAGGTTGCCCCACCCTGGTGATTACCTGAGGCTCCACCCCACAAAAATTACAGGTGCCTGTTCTACAATAGGCCATGCTACTAAGACAGGGAGTCAAAGCAGCTCTACGTAATACATGGAAACAAACACAGGGAGACTGCCAAATTGAGGAAACAGAAATATGGCTCAAATGAAAGAACAGAACAAAACTCCAGCAAAAAAACTAAATGAAATAGAGAAAAGCAGCCTATCAGATACAGAGTTCAAAACTGGTTATCAGGATACTCAAAGAAATCTGCAACAGCATGAAAAAGAACCAGGCACAACGGAAGGTCGCATTAAGTGAGATAAAGAAAAATCTACAGAGAAACAACAGTGGAGGTGATAAAGCCCAGAATAAAATCAACGATTTGGAACATAAGGAAGAAAAAAGCATTCAATCAGAACAGCAAGAAGAAAAAAGAATTCAAACAAAGCAAGGATAGAATAAGGAACTTCTGAGACATCTCCAAATGTACCAACATCTGAATCATAGGGATGCCAGAAGGAGAAGAGGAAGAGCAAGAAATTGAACACTTATTTGGAAAAATAATGAAAGAAAACTTTTCTAATTTGGCAAAGGAAATACACATACAAGTTTAGGAAGCACAGAGAATCCTAAACAAGTTGAACCCAAAGATGACCATAGCAAAACACATCATAATTAAAATGCCAAAGGTTAATAAAGATAAAGAGAGAATCTTAAGCATAGCAAGAGAAAAGCAGAGAGTTACCTACAAAGGAGTTCCCATAAGACTGTCAGCTGATTTTTCAAAAGACACTTCGTAGGCTAGAAGGGACTGGCAAGATGTATTCAAAGTGATGAAAAGCAAGGATCTAAATCATTGAGAAGGGAAGGACAGATAAAGTAGTTCCCAGATAGGGTAAAGTTAAAGGAGTTCATCATTACCAAGCTCTTATATGAAATGTTAAAGGGAACTAAATAAGAAAAAAGAAGAACAAAACTATGAATGTTAAAAAGACAACAAATTCACAACTATCAACAACTGAATCTAAAAAACAAACTAAGCAAACAAGCAGAACAGGAACAGAATCATAGATATTGGAGATTATTTGGATGGTTATTCGCTGGCAGGGGGAATGGGGAGAATGCGGGGAAAGGTTCAAGGATTAATAGGCACAAATTGGTAGGCACAGGATAGACAGGGGAATGGTAAGAACAGTATAGGAAATGAAGTGGTTAAAGAACTTACATGCATGATCCAGGGACATGAACTATGGGAGGGAATTGCTGGAGGGAAAGGGGGTACCAGGCAAATGGGGGCAAAGGTGAAAAAATTGGGATACCTGTAATAGCATAATCAATACAATATATTAAAAAATAAAAGTTATTTGTCAAAAACAATTAGAGCTATTTTAATCATAAGATTTGGCAGAGACACACTTTGGCAATGCTGGAGACACTGGTTAATGTGCCTTCTTACACACACATAAATGAAAATAAATGGATAAAATAAAATGGAGATGAGGTAGGTTGAGAGAAAAAGCTGTTACAGGGTCTTGAAATGAAAGCTCTATTATTTCAACAGGAAAGAAGAATAAGCTACGAGTTTACTATCTTTCATGGTTAAGAAATAGAATACTACACAATGACCCAGAAGTGGAAAAGAAACAAGGCTGGATCACCGTTGGGGACTTGGAAGGCTGTATACATTACAAAGTGGGTAAGTCTCAAGATGCGGAACTGTTCTTCAAACTCAACCTGAATTATGCAGTTAAGTTCCATTCAGTTTTTTTCTATCATACATTGATGATGCACCAAGTTAAGATGTTGCTGAAACCATAAGTATACTTGCATTATTTCCAAAAAAAAAAAAGATGAATGAAGTTGAAAGGTTGCATGCAGAATTAAGTCCTAGGCTCCAGTTTAAATATATATATCCTACCCATTAAAATGATAATGAAGGAATAAAAATACCATAAACCTACAAGGACAAAGGGACCAGGAGAGAAACTAGCAAATGAGACGTCAACAAAATTGAACAAGAGTAGTTGGATGACTAAAAACAAACCTAGCTAACCAGGAAATGCTGAATTTTAAGTTTTCAGTGAGTAAATTCATCGAAATCAATCCAGTCACTTAACAGAACCCAGAAAGGCCCAGGATCTGAGGCCCCAGATGTACCTGAGGTAGAAGCGTAGAATCGAACCAAAATAGGATTGTTGGAGAGTTAATGAGTAGCAAGTTTCTCCAGCAGCCAGTCAGGGAGCTACCCTCCCCAATTAAAACAGAAGACAAAAGGTTGTCACGGCCAATTTGATGATGGGAAATACTGAATTGTGAGGAGACACACACACACACACTCCATCCCCTGTTTAGCTCCTAAAATGTTGGCATCCATGCTTAAACTGCCAAGCAAGAGATTCAGATTCGTCTGTGGAGAAACTAAATGATCAGCCAGAAAAGATGTTCAGGTACTAACCTTTGAGATGCCATGAACAAAGCTTGGTGTCTAACTTCTTAAAGCAGAGCCTAGCAGTCAGTAAGCCTCCATATCAGACATGGGAAAATCCACTTACAGGTAGGAAACTTAGAAAGGACTTGAGAGGGACCAAGGACAATGAGGAGTGGAAGAAAATTTTAAAGAAAGAAACAACTTCAGAGAGGCTATCAAAACTGTTTCCATAAAAAGAACAATAAGGGCTATCAAAACTGTGAAGCAAGGTTGAGGGAAGTCATTCAAAAAGCAAAAAAAAAAAAAAAAAAATCTTGGAAATTAAAATATACTGCCAGGAGTAAAAATATAACAGAAATTTTGGAAGATAAAGATGAGAAATCTCCTAGAAAGTAGAACAAAAAAATTGGGGGGATAAGTGGAAAGTTAAAAAGTAATCAGTCCAAGTGGTTCAAAATCTAGGTAACAGGAGTTTTAGAAAAGAAGAAATGGAAAGGGAAGAAAGTTTCAAAGAAAGCATATAAGAAAATTTTTATAACTAAAGTCTTGAAATCCCAAATTAAAAGAATTGAGTACCCAGAACAGTGAATGAAAAAGGAAGACTCACGACAAGACACATCAACATGATATTTCAGCCCTTAAAGCTTCCAGACTAAAAGTAAATAAATAAATTAACTAACAAACAGTTTATCAATAACAGACCCAGAATCAGGTGGCCTGGGACTTACAACAGTACTAGAAAATTAGAAAACAATGGAGCAAGGCTTCAAAATTCCAAGGGAAAAGTTATTTTCACCCAGTATTTTATAATTCACCTGCATTTGCCAGAGTTCTCCAGAGAAACAGAACCAATAGGGTATGTGTACAGGTGTATGTATCAGTCCAAATGGAGTAGAACACCAGAGGGTTCCAGAAGAGGTGCATTCAAGAAAAATAAAATGTTACTAATAGGTTGCCTGTCACGTTTGATTGTAGTGAAGCATTTACAGCATTCGCAGAAGGTTTCCACGTGCTTAGAGATACATACATAGAAAACGAGGACAGGAAGACAAGAAAGGAAGTGTAATTATGGTATACTATGTGCCTCATCTGTGAGCAATAATAATTTGAACACAGATCATTGAATTAACTGAAAACTTAAAATACAACTATATGGAAGGTGTAGGGGAGGAAGAAGTGTGTGTTTAGGAGAGATCTAGAGAGAGGAAATGGTTGTAAGAAACTGAATCTCTTCCATTCAACAAAGTCAGTATATAACATCTACAACTGAAAAAAATCAATGAATACATAATAGGGATGTTATTGAGAAATATGGAAATAAATTGCTAACGAAGTAGTTGAAAGTATATTAAAGACAGAATGTGTAGTCAGAAGGGACATGTTACAGGAAAAGAGCTCAAAGAACAAGACTTTGGTGTTATTCTGGAGTGTCCAATTTTTTAGAACACAGAATATTCTGTTTGTTCAGATAATGCATAAAAAATGTAAAAAATGTAAAATGTCATACGTACTGTCTTAGTCTGTTCAGGCTGCTATAACAGAATACTACAGACTGGGTGGCCTACAAACAATAGGAATTTATTTCTCACAGTTCTCAAGACTGGGAAGTCCACCCAAGATCAAGTCACTGGCAGAGGCACTGCCTGCTGAGGGCTCTCATCCTGGTTCCCAGACCACTGTCTTGTCACTGAACCTCACCTACCAGAAAGGGAGAGGGCTTTTTCTAGGGCCTCTTTTATAAGGGCACTAATTCCTTATAAATTTCTAGTAACTGGGATTCAAATTTAAATAATAAGCAAACAGAAGCCTTTGTGTCTCTACCCATTTGCTAGTTTTTCTACCAGCTCTCAGCTACGTACTTACATGTGGATGGGTATAAAAGTCAGGAAAGGAAATGTTAAGGGCTGTTAAATAGATTCTTATTACAATAAATAGTTCATACCTAGACCTAGTGGTTAAAGAAAGTCCTAAGCCAGTTACATCTTTATATGAAGAAAAGAGCCTCCAGTATAAAGCAAAAAGCCCCAAGTATTATGTAAACCAAGTACACTAAAGGTAGTTAAATCCGAATCTACAACATAAGCAGCTTCCACACCAACTGCATCACCCTCAGTTACAGTTTTCCATGTAGTGGGGCAAAATAGGTTTACAGTTGTGAGCACCCAAAACACAGTTTATTCTTGTATTTTTATTTATTAATTATTTATTTTTCCAGGTGGACAACTGTGAACCTACTTTTGCCCCACCCCATGTATTTGCATATTATGGCTTCCACATTCATTAACACAAAAACTTGAATAAATTGATATGCTTTTTTAACATATAATTTTTCTGTTATAGTTAAATATGAAAGGATCAAATTCTTGGTGATTGCCTTAAAGAATGCCGTGGAGATATATGCTTGGGCTCCGAAACCATATCATAAGTTCATGGCATTTAAGGTAAGCAGGCAAATGATTACCTAAAAAGTGCTTGTTTTAGTCTTTTTTTCAATTTGTGGTTCCAGCATTTACCAAAGTGGTCTGTCTTGCACGTAGACTAATATTAATATTCCTGTATATAATAAAGCTCTTTTAAAAGTATAGAAGTGCTTAGATTCATTATTCTAAATGTAAAGATTAAGGATTAATAAATGCTATGAAATTAGTCAAATTAAAATTTCGGTACACACTCCTCCATTTCAGGTCTATGAATCACCCTCTCCAAGTAGAATTTAGTATGAAATGATTCCCGGGTGAATCATTAATTGTGATATTAGGCAATGAGCCTCATTACACAGCCCTCTGACTGGGGCACTCTCTGACATTTCATTTGAAAAAGGCAGGCCGACGGCAGCACTGAATTGCAAGGTTGAACAGAGTCTCTGAATGTTGTAACCTCCATAAGCCTTGTGAGGTGAAGTTCCTGAAACTCACTTCACGCTCCCTGTCCCCAGTGCTGTCGGATTTCTCTGAAGTGAAAACTGAGTTTAGTCACATCTGAAAATGACCTAGTTTGTCTTCATTCTTCAGTGTTGGTGGCTTTTTCATTATTTTTGACCTTGTCTGAGTCTCTCTACCCACCATGGTTAGGCTGATCGCTGAGAAGATTCAGCGGGAGCAGAGCAGGGATGTGCTAGTCCCCTTGCCCCAGACCATGGAACTGACCCCAAATGCCAGAAGGACCAGCACTCGTGGGCACTCCCATGTGTCCAGAGCTACGCAGTCTGTTCATAGCCAATGCAAATGTGACTTCTGTTCATTCTCTCTCTCTCTGCCTATGTCTCTCTCTTCTTATCTCATTGGTTCTCACTTTTCCCCTACCTTTTGACCATTCTTCTCGTTGACCCTTTACATAGGCTTTCTTCCCACATATGCCATTTGAGGCAAAAGCTGCCTTGAGAACATTATGAGCCCATCCTCATGTCTGAATCACCCACTTTTTTCTTGTTCCCTTAGCACTAGGGGCTTACTTGTGATATGCTCTGGAAGATAGATTCATCAATGGAAGTGGGCTCCCCTTCCCAACCCCACTTTTACAGAGAGGTTTTTGGAATGCATTAGGTTAGTAATAGCACTTAAGGGGTCACTCCTAAAAGCTAAAGTGGTGCTGCTGTTCTGCCAAAATCTCTCTCCAAAAGCTTTTCAATCAGGATCCCATTCCAGTTCTGAAGTCACTGCCATCAGTTTACCAGCCAAAGTGCATGAGAGAGTGAAATGCTTTGTTCAGCAGATCATAGCCAGCCTGGAAAGAGGGAAGAACAAAGGCCAGGGCTTGAACAAAAAAGATTGGAGCTCATTTACTATGAGCAGGGGCCAAGCCCTCCCATAGGACAAGGATACGAGGCCAGGGCCTCTCATACTGTGAGAATGGTGTTAGCAATAGATATGGAGAGGGGGGTCTGTCAGGGGCAGTGGCATTATAGCGAGGCACTTGTGGCCTCCCACATTCTCTCCCAGACTTCAAGACCCAATGAAGGCAAAGGGTGGCAAAGGGAAACAGAAAAACACACAAATTCACGTTGCAGCTTTGGCTCCAACTCAAACACATACAACCTAGATTAACTTAACTGGAGCTCCTCTTTTTGTGCTTCCTAGTTAAACCCAACTAGCCAGCTAAGCACAGTTCTCTGAAGATTCAGCCAGGTTGTTGCGTGTGTCAGTAGTCTGTTCCTTAGCATTGCTGAGTAGTATTCCACAGTATGGATATACCACAACTTGTTTAACCATTGACCTGCAAAAGGATGAACAGTGGGGTTTCTTCTGGGTTGGAGGATTTATTTATATAAAGCTGCTATAAACATTCATGTAAAAAAAAATGAGTCTTAAGTCTTGTGATGTTCTACCCCATCCTTCCGTTAATCCTGAACAGACCTACCAAAGAGTGGCCTGGTGGCCCACCCGAGACGGCCTCTGAAAAGGTCGCAGCCATGCATGGGCCTGGCTGTCACATGTAAGAGAAAAGGCCAGAAATAAACAGGAAAGATCAGCAGGACCAAGGCCCCAAGTTTGTAATACATGGTAACAGTATCAAAAATTGACAACTATAAACCACTTCTCTGCCCTGGAGGACCAGGAGTGGAAAAAGGGGCACAGATGGGTGCTAGACCCCTTTTCTTAGAGCCAGAATATGAATAGACCTGAAAATGAATGACAAATTTCCTGGTTTTTCTATTTAAGAAAGACATTCAATTCTGCCAGGCAATGACGAAAGGAAAAATTGTTAAGATGGCCTCTCTGAACGATGTGTACACTCATGGGGTGATTTTTAAAGTCTTTTGCAGATCTTCAGCACAAGCCACTGCTTGTTGATCTCACAGTAGAAGAAGGACAAAGATTAAAGGTTATTTTTGGTTCGCACACTGGTTTCCATGTAATTGATGTTGATTCAGGAAACTCTTATGATATCTACATACCATCTCACGTAAGTCCGTGGAAGCCGACTGTCAAGGCTCTCTACCCAACAACCTACACGTAAAAAGAGATTTGCTTCTGTACAGTTTTAATAGAAGTCTTGCTTTTCCTAATCAGTAAACTGGATGGACTTTTGACCTTCACTAAATAGACAATGCTTTTAACAAATAAAATGTAAATTTAACTTACTTTTATGACTGCTTAACACTGAGTAACACATAATGGCAATTATGTGCCATTTACTGGACACGTTGTCTCATTGAACTTTAGATTAAAATACAAGGGGGGACCCCCCAAAACAGGAGTTATCTTCTGGAGTGTGGGTCCATTGTAGTACAGACTTCCCCCCATTAGGAGAGTGCTCTAGGAACCTATCTGTATCAGTATACCAGCTAGTGTTGTTGTGAGAGGCTGCTTTCGGCTTCAGTGAATTTTTTTTGAAGACTCTTTCAATGCATTTACCCATTTCATGATGGGTGATTTACAAGCACACCTGCCCACACAATGCTGGGTGTTCAGCAGTTTTTGACCAAAAAAGGTATGACCCCATGCCCTGACCTCGCTATTCACCCAATCTCACCTCAAGTGACTTTTTTTGTTTCCCGGGATGAAAAAAGTCCTCAATGGGTAATGTTTTGCCGATGTGGAAGAGGTGGAACAAAAAATGGCAGAAGCACTAAAAAGCATCAAAGTCAACAAGTTCAGAAACCGTTTTGAGCACTGGGAAAAAAGTTTCAATAGGTGTATTGCACCAGATGGAAAGTACTTTGAACATGACTGAAGTTTAAACATCTAAGGATAAATACACAATGATTTTGAGGGGTTTCTACCTCATACATATGATGTTTTTCCATCAAGGGCATAAATTCTGTTTTTTAAGCAGGAGTACAATAGATAAGTTCCTGTTTTTGGTTTTTGAAGCAAGATTGGCTCATTTTACATAGGACAAGGCCAATGGTCCTTTTTCTGCTGTTTTTGTTCTTCTTTTTAACTCGAGGGCAGTGTCACGTGGTCGAATCAGACGTGCCCTAGATCTAGCCAGTATTCGCTTTGAAGTACTGGACACATTAGGCAGTCTGCCAGCCCTCAGCTTTCACAACTGTAAAATGGGGATGAAAGAACCTACCCCATGTGGTTGTCATCCATATTACATGAGGTAATACATCTGAAGTAGCTGCCACAGAGCCCTGCAAATTATAGTATTACTGTGACTATACTGCACATTGCCTAAAGCATGACTTTTAATTTTATTTAACACTTTTTATTTTCTAATTATAGTTGACATTCAATATTAAATTAGTTTCAGGTGTACAGAACAGTGGTTAGGCATTTAAATAGCTTACAAAGTGTTCCCCCCAATAAGTCAGTACCCACCTGGCACCATACAAACTTATTACAGTATTATCGACTATATTCTCCATGCTGTATTTACAAGCCTATGACTGTTTTATAACTGCCGATTTGTACTTCTTCATCCCTTTACCTTTTTCACCCAGGTGCTGCACAGGGTTTCACTTTGTAGGATTGGTGCATTGTCAATTGTCTTCTTATGTAATCCCAAAACTCACATCCAATAGAAACTATTTATTAGGGAAGTTCAAGGCCTCATCTGTCACTGATTTGTGTTTTAACAGTTTAAAGACTTTACTCCAAAGAAATCAATTGAAAAAAAGTTGTTTTAGTACATCACACACACACACCATTCATTGTTGCGTTACAGCTTTTGCCTCGTGTGCGTGCACACACACGACTCACCTGGAGCGTGCTGGAGCCCCGCCCCGGACCACCCTCGACCCTGTCATGCCTACCCTCCCCGCAGCCCTTGGACTGCCATGACATTCCCAGCCAGGGCTCACGGCAGCACCGCGTCTCTTTTCCTAGAACAAGTCAATCTACATTTATTTCAGTAGTAAGACTTTTTTGGAATGAATGGTGACTTTAAATTTTTTTTCTCAGCAAGCCCTTGATTTGGATTTTCCTGTTATTTAGGCACGCAGATAAACAATCTGTGTTATCTGCTCAGAGCCCGTTTGGTACGAGTCTGTTTTGGTCCCATCTTCCCGCCCCCTGTGGGCTCTTCTCCATCCAATTCAGCTTCTCTTCATCTGTTTGGAGATAGATATGGGGGAAACATGTGATTTGCAGTGTCTACAAGACAAGTGTTCAAACCCCAGTGCTACCACCACATACCGGTGCAACTTTGGTCAGGTTACACAATCCCTCCAAAGTGTAGTTGCCTCGTATAGGCAGAGATATCTCCCATGAGGAGCTGCTCTAAGGGCTAGACATTGTCCAGTTAAAGGGCCCAGTGCTTGGCACATACTAGGTGCTCCTGAGCTGTTCTTATTTTCAGGAACAAGTAAATGGGATTCTTGACCTAGTGCCTAAGTTTGTATTTACTGGAGCATGTGACAGGTTGATGGTTAAATTAAGCAAAGCAGCACATCAGCCTCTAGAATGAAAACAGAAAAAAAGGAAACCTTTGTTTGGCAATTCTTAGCTATTACTAGTGAAGATGTTGCTTATTTTTAAAAAGAATAATGCCTGGCCTTTCTTTGTCTTCTAGATTCAGGGCAATATCACTCCTCATGCCATTGTCATCTTGCCTAAAACAGATGGGATGGAAATGCTCGTTTGCTATGAGGATGAGGGGGTGTACGTGAACACCTACGGCCGGATAACTAAGGATGTGGTGCTCCAATGGGGAGAAATGCCCACGTCTGTGGGTAGGTTAACCATTCCTTATCTCCTTCAGCAGTTACACCCCCCAAATGAAACGAAAGTCAAGAAATGTGAAACAACCATTTGATTCCACCAAAAAAAAAAAAAAGTCTGTGAATAACAGTTGTAAGACTTGCTTTGTCTGTTTATCTCAAGTTGTTTGTCGTTTTTGTGGTTAAGATGTGAACAGATGCTGTGAGTTATTGCCCATCTAATGTTTTTAATGCAGTTTTGGAAATTCCTTTTGACAGCCTACATTCATTCCAATCAGATAATGGGCTGGGGCGAGAAAGCTATTGAGATCCGGTCAGTGGAAACAGGACATTTGGATGGAGTATTTATGCATAAGCGAGCTCAAAGGTTAAAGTTTCTATGTGAAAGAAATGATAAGGTAAATCCGTTTCAACATTTGCATTAGTGTTTGCATTTTAAGAGACCACCAGGTACCTGTGAAACCTTCATTTTCCTTTCTACTGATTTGAATCACATCTGTGTTAACAATCAATACTATCTTGAAATGGCATTATTTGGTTTGATTTATGTGAACCCTCAAAATGTATTACTTACGTATCAAAAAGGCATAAACATATCTAAAAGTTTCTTGTAAACTCTTAGTAACTTTTGTGGCCTGCAGACCTTATGGTGATTCAGCAGACACCCCAAATTCTCCTCAGCACTTAGAAGAGTTGGTCCATCATTAATCACCTCACAGTGGGTCAACTTTATATCCCACTTTGAGACCTCAACTATCACATTATATTCACCTTTAAATGTAAAACATTTGACATGTAGAAATATAAACTTTAAAAAATGTCACCCATTCCTTAAGGAATGCGCAATCACAAACTCAACTAGTGCCATGTCCTGTGTCATCCCGCCATGTTTCTTCTCCGGTGTCGTAGGGGGACTGTTTCCAGCGGAAGTGGCGGTGTCCTCTGGCATGCTCAGCCCTCAGAGGGGTATTCTGCAGCACGGCTGCTTCTCCCGTGCCCTCCCTGTAGACTAATCCCAGCGTTTTAGTAGCTAAGCTGTACTGCACTTGTGAATTCATCCTCTGTGACCTTGGCCAACTTAGAAATGCTATCCCCAAAACAGCTGACATAAACACCAGTAGGAAAGAATGTGACAGGTTGAACAGACGTACATCTCTTGGCCCATCCAGACTGATCTTAGTCCAACGCTAGAGGTGTGGGTCTAAACTTCTAGATCCGACCCTGGCCAGTGACTCTGACCTGGCATGGTCTGGTGTGGTCTGGGTGGGCGATAGCGACAGGTGGCAAGGAGAGTTCCAGGGCCTGACCAGAGTATGCCAGACTGTCCCTTATTAAAACTCCAGCCCCTCACCTAGTGTCTGGAAATTGTAAGACTAAGAGTGATCTGGGCATGCGCTCCCACACTCCTAATTTATTGAAGACCCACCCCAACAAGCCCTGCCCACACCCTCAGGAGCAGGCTGGGGCCACACTGCACCTGGGCCCCGAGGTTTAAAGTCTAGAGTGCAAACGACCCGGCGAGAGCAGCAGCTCTTTCCCTCCTTGTGTTTCCATGGGTCCTCTGTGCTCGCCCACTCTGAATCATTGACCCTGACGGTAGCTTTCTAACCTATGTAGCATTAACTGAATGACAGGCATTTCCATAGCATTCTTCTGAAGAGGTTGTGGGAATGAAGTAGCAGAGACTTTATACTAGTGACTAGTGACTTTGGTCCAAGTAAATGCCTTGGACCAAAGTTTGGTGTTGGCTGAATAAAGGGCTAGGCCACTGCCCAGAAGATTCCTTTCCCGGGGCAGTGGTCCATTGACATTCAGCCCAGGCAAGCAGTAACCCGAATGTTGCTCACTTCTCTCATTGCTTGATAAAATGATTTAACAGACCCAGACCTAATGGACTGTGGTTCTGCTTACTAATGCCATTATCTCCTTTGGCCGAGGATACGCCTGCATCAGCAGAGAGGCCAAGCGTTAATTCTTGAAATGCCAAAGTGAATAGGCATTGAACACCTTATCCTATCTGATCACAACCATTTCACTCTTTTTTAATTTAAAAAATTGAGAGGTCAAGTCGGCTTGCCCAAAATTTTCCCCCCTTGACTTTGGGAATTCAAAAGGATTCTCTGTAGCCCCAAAGGCTGCCTGCCCTCTTGTCTTTCTAGGGGAGGGGAGGGAGGGGAGCCTCTGCAGCTTTCCAGAAACAAACAAGGGCCCTGTTGTGTCCCAGTCCAGAAATCCAACGTGTTATCCCCACACAAAACTCCCTTGTAAAATGTGAGCACCCAAAGGGGAAGTTACAAATCAAGATTGACCCCGAAGGTCAATCCCACAATAAGTGATAATAGCAACCATAAAGGCAGGAGTGCTTACAGAGGATGCACTGTATTAAAAGGCACTTTATAAACACCAGCCACTGAGTCTTAAGAGCTGACGCATGGCCAGGATAGAACATGTGAGAGAAAATGGATGGACGGTTGAAGAAGAGAGGGCGAGAAACCATGCAGTTGAACTAACTTCTTTTTAATTTCAAACAGGTATTTTTTGCATCCGTGCGATCTGGAGGAAGTAGCCAAGTGTTTTTCATGACCCTCAACAGAAATTCCATGATGAACTGGTAACAGAAGAGCACTTGGCACTTATCTTCATGGCGTTATTTCTAATTTAAAAGAACATAACTCATGTGGACTTATGCCAGTCTAGAGGCAGAATCAGAAGGCTTGGTTGAACATACCACTTTCCCCTTTTCCTCTCCCTCCACCCATCCCAAAACAGTCCATCTTTCAATGTTGCAGCCTGGTTGAGAAGGAGAGAAAAAGGTGGCAGGAATTTCCAGGAGATCCCCAAGAATGCTGCGTTGCCTGTGGACAAAGATGGACCATGTGCCCTTCGGAGTTAGGGATAGAAACAAATATTGTGTGCTCTTATGATTAAGCTGTGTTATGGTGGATTCTGAGTTTTGTTTTGTTTTTTACCTTTTTTCTTTACTCCCTTACTTTGTAAGAATGGGGAGAGAATGCATACTGAGAAAATTAGTCCAGTTTTAATTGTCTGCCTGCTAGCTTTAAGTATACAATATGTTGTAAAATTTCCAATTTCAAATGGCGAGAGACAGCACAATAAATGTACCTTATCTCCTTACACTGAAGGCCATAACTGCATAGTGGGGTAATTTTAGAACTCTTTTGCCTTCACCAACCCAAAAGGTTGCTTTTTGGTAGCAACGGGCTAATGAATTTTTAAGAGAAAAAAAATACTGTACTGTTTTCCCCTCTTTCGGGAAATAGATTTTAAATGGCTAAACTACTAGCCTTAGACTAATAAAATCAACTGCCATTTTTGAGTCTGACAGGCCCTATTTTTATACGGCCCTGCACAGAATGGAGTGTGTCGAATGGGACAGTTGTGTCATTGAGTTGTGTTGGCTCCAGTAAGGAGGGTCCCGTAAGGCAGTTTTCCCTCAGCTATTATGCAATGGGTCAGGGCAAAAGATGGGATGGCAGATGAGGTCACACGGAGAGAGCATCTGGGAAACAAGCTAGAAAAACCACACACACACACATACAGTTTTATAAATGTACAAGGCCCTCCCAGCTAAGAGGTCACTGAGTTTGGGCTTCACTAGAATGAGACTTTGTTGAGTTCTAACTGGGGAGTGAATGACATCCAGGCTCTGGTCATTCCCAGCTTTCTCCTGACAATGCCACTTTCTCAAGATGAAAACCGCGACTGAAAAAAAATAATGAGAAATGTTTCTGAGCTGCCTGCGTTCTCTTGGGTTGGTGAGAGAAGGGACTAGACTACTATGCCTGCCCGAGACAGTAGGCCTCACTGGTTCAGATTTTATAGAACTCGAAAGCAAGGCTTTGGCCAAAATTCTGAGATCCTAATCATTTTACCTTCCTCCAAATTACCCAACATACGGTAAACAACATTTGTGCAGAGATACGTGTGTATTTAGTTCAGGTCGACTCGTGTCCTTATAAACTCTTACTCAGATGATTTGAACTTTTACGTGACTGTCTGGGATTTTTTTTCCAAAGCTACAAGCATGGCCGCCTGTGGTATCGAGGTGTTGCGAACCGGTGTCTGTGTTGCGCTTCCTGTGTTAACCTACCTCGTTCCGTTTGTTTCGTTCACTGTTCATCACAGCAGTGTTATCTCCAGGAGACATATAGAGAGCTCAGCTGGCAATCTCAGGTGTAGTTAATATTTTTTAAACAAAACCGTAGTTGACTAAATCGTTCTCCTTGAAAAATTTTTTAAAAAATCCAACAACAGAAATTAATGTGGCTTGTTTCTGGAGAAAACAGCTACTGTAAACAGATAAAAAAAAAAATCTGGGATCCTACTGGTTTTGCCTAAATTCATGAGCAGCTGATGTACTATTAATGAGAACGAAATACACATTAGGGAAATGGAGTCATTTCAGTCTGGTGGTTGGGACAAGGAGGGAAGGGAAGGGGAATTATTCTGGTTTCTGAAGTAGATGAGTATGCCCCTTCTGTAAAGGTGGTTGTCATTTGCATTATTTTAATCAGGTAACACACAGGAAAGGAATTGAGGATTATCTTCAGGCAATCACCAAGATGTCCTCATCATGGTCCCTTTAGCTCTCAAAAGCAATGAAATCCTCCCGTTCTCATTATTACTGCTGTGATTCTGCTGCTGAACAATAAATACTATCTTCACAAATTCCATGCAACAAATTCAGCAATAACTTTTTGGATTGAATTTAGCAACTACTATCATTGGATTCGAATGTGGGCAAAATATGTTGATTTGGGTCTCCTCCCCAAATGTGATTGCCACCAGCTCTTTATATCGCTGCTGTGGTATTTTAAACCAGAAGCTTCTTTAAATTATGTTGCAAACTGATCTCTGTTTTTATGTTATGTTTTGTTTTTATTTCTAAGTGATAAGTTTGAAACACACAGCTTTAAATGATTTTTTTATTGTGGGATTTGGGGTACAGTTAAGAAATAAAAGGGAATCATTGTGTTTAAACATAAGGTAGTTTGTGAATGTATTTTTTAAAATCTAGATTCATTGAAACAAAAACTCATAAGAAAACAATATTAATGCAGTCTTGTTTACAGTATGTACAGTGACATAACATAGAACATGAGCTTTTTCTGGTGCCAACAACAATAAAACACAGACGTTAAACATCAAGCCATGCCTTTTATATTTTTGTACAAGTATTTTACACTGAGTACAAGGCAAAATCAAATTTATAAGTGCCCCCCCCACCCAAATCTGTGTACATCTTTAAAAGATATCTAAAGAATTCCTTTAAGCTTTTATGTTCAAAAATACATTTCCTCCATCAGGACAGGCCCTGTCCCTGACACACTGGTGCTTACTTAGGTCATGCGAAATATTTCAGGCTGTTTTTGTCGCTCGTGACAAATGCCAACTTTTTGGTTTGCTTTAATTTTTTTCTTTTTTTTTTTTTGGTGAACAGAGAGAAGATTTTGCTTTTATCATCTTAATAGCATCTTAATAACATTTCCTTTAGCTTTGAGGCTTTGAGACTAGTTAGTTTCAGTCATTAGCTTTTGTTTTTCCCGTAGGGGACTTTTGTCTCTAGAATTAGCTTATTTTCTGTTTATTTTTCTACAGAGAGAAACTGAGCCCTCCTTCCAAAGTAAGCGTCACTAGATCCTAGTGATAATCATGCATTAAAACCCACTGAGTCAGCCCAACCATCATCTTGGACCAGGGCCTGACGGGTTACCGTCTTCCCTGGGCACCAGTCAGAGACACCACAGCACGGACTCCTGCATCCAGTGGGTGACAGGAATGGATGACCTGAAAGGTCCCTTCAAATGGCCATGTCCTCCCCACGCCAGCTACATTCAGACCATGGTCACAGCACACAATCCATATCACTGAAAAGTGCTTACACTAAGTTCCACATTATTTTTCCTGAAGACTTTCAGATGGCACTTCAAGAAGACCTAGCACTACTTCAACAGCATAGAGTAAGATACAGATGAAACCCCAGTTGGACAGGGACCCCATCTTTCTAACACATTGACATTGCTTTCTAAGATATACTCCTGGCAGACTCTTCATCAAGTACACATTTTTTAAAAGCACTGTAATTCCTGGTTGTCAAGCTCTACTAACAGTTTTCTGTCTGTTCTTGTGGCTCCTTGGTAATTGGTGTCTCTGGTCCCTCTTGTGCATTAGGTTAGAAAGAGATGTGAAATTCAAGACGGAGCCATTTCGGCTTTGTTCATTGCCAGACAAGGAAGTGGCTGAAGTCTGACCTCACATTCATGAAGTTAAAAAAAAAAAAAACCTTTCCCTACTACTGTGTGTGCCAGTTCCCATCACTATATCTTGAAATGTAGCTCTCTGTGTTTTAACAGTGTGTGCTGTCTTCTGAAGTCTGCTTAAACAGGTGTCACTTGCATTTGTGTTGATTGCTTTAAGATACATAATGTGCTACATTGTTTTTAAGAAAGAAAAGCAAAACTTTTTCACCTAAGGGAGGAAAATAGGAGCATATCACAGCACACCGATGATCATTCTGAATCCCCCTACCCACCATCCTCTCAATATTCCCAAATCCCTTCCAATACTGTGTTCTGGCCTTCTCAACAGTTTCCGTGACATTAGTTACCTTTTAGTTCATTCCTCAAAAATTTAAGTCTAACCAAAGCAAACAATGCATGACAAACAAACCCCAAACTGGCCTCCACCAAGACTACATAGTTGCAACATAAAATCCAAAAGTCTAAATTTGACTTCAGTTACCTGCCAATATTTGTCATAAGGGCCACTACATTGTGGCCTTGATCAGTACAGCAGGATCAGGAAACCTGAAATGTTCTGTCTTTTCATGGGTCTCAAAATGGGTATAAGCTGATCTCTTTTCAGAAGCCCCAGCAAAGAAAACCTCTTAAGAACTTGCAAGTTCAAAACTGATCATTTGTGCATTTCTGCCAAACATACTCCATGTTGTTTTGTTTCCATTCTGTATCATTGTTCTGGCAATTTTTTTCCACAACTAGAATATTCAAAAATTTGCATAGCATTAAACAGTATGAGGCTATAACTCTATGCTTTGAACTTTATCGCTCTAAGCCTGACATTCCAAGAAGTGCCAGAATGCACCAAAACTAAATTCCCATAAAGAGATTAAAAAAAAATCCTTGGATAAGTTTTCAGATTCTTTATAAGAAATATTTTCTTTTTTAAAATGTATTTATTGACTTTTAGTGAGAGAGTAAGAAATAGAGAGAGAGAAACATCAATTTGTCTCACTCATTTATGCATTTATTGGTTGGTTCCTGTATGTGCCCTGGCTAAGGATCAAACCTGCAACCTTGGCATATGAGGAAGACACTTTAACCAACTGAGCTACCTGAGGCCAGGGCCTCAGATACGGTAATTTCAGGACAAAATCTTGGACTCTGTGTATGATGCCAAACATTTAGACGACAATTAGAAAATACAGCTAAAATAGAAATACTCTAGAGTGTCCAGGTGTTTGACTTTGTATAGACATCATCAAACTAACGCACACATTAGGGTTTGCTTTAGATGGTTTGTTTTTATTAGCACCAAGTTACATTGCACTATTGAGGCTGAGCAAATGCTGGTCAAAAAGGTGAGTTTTCATTTCCAGCAGTGGGTCATTCATCATTCGGACATAGCAAATACCCAGCCCCTGCTGCCCTTTCCTCTCACCTCTCTCTCCTGGGCTTGGGGTTAAGGAATAGTCACACTGAATTATGGTTCATTTAAAAACTTCAGACATTACCCGAAATAAGAATTTCAAGTGTAAGTAACAGTGAGAAATGAACCTGCATCAGGAAAAAAGGATGACAGCTTGGATCAATTTTAGAATTGGATGTTGTGAAACTGTTTTCCTGCATTTCAGCTCTCTTATTTACAATGTTAACAACTGTGGAGATGCCAAATTTATATGGGAAGGGGAAACTATTATTTTGCTGTGACTACAAGTGTTTACATTGTTTAAATCTTCAGTTTTCTAACATGTTTTCAATTGTCAAAAAAATGCACTGAAACTGGATGAATCTCACCTGTGTCAGGATATAAAAGGAGAAAATATTCTTGGCATATTTTCTAGCCGGAAACTTTTCATTACTGTCAAATATCTTTTTTTTTCCCTGCCTACAAAAAGCCTTCAGTTATCCACAGTTGTTTTAAGCAGTAGTTGGAAATGATTTAGTAGATCCTAAGCCAAGATTTCCCCATATGGTCACTGCCATACCCTGGAATATGTTATTTTATCGCTGTCAAAATGTGAATAATAAAACAAGGGTAGTAGGATGCCTGCTTTTCCTCATTGCCACTCACATAATCCATCCCTCCTTCCAAACACCCAGTGCTTTGATGCCCTTGCCGTCAGGCTGTGAAGTCTCTAGTTAATGTTTCATCGCTTCCCCTGGTTGGCTCACTGTCACTGACTCCAGCACCACCCTTTCTTAATTCTTGGTGATTTCAATATCCACTGGGACAATCCTATAAATGCCCTGGCTTCTCAGTTTCCTGGCCTTACCCAGTGAAACATTATCAATTACTACACCGCCTCCTTAATGCCAATCAGTCAATTCTTCCCATTTGCTTTCATTAGATTTCTATCCAACCTCATCAAGTAAAGGCCATTGTCCCAATATCTTTCTCCTCCCTGCATTTTTCCTGTTTCAATGGTGGATTTCACTACACGGTGCTATTTCTGGTTATAAACACTCATCTTAACCCCCTTCCCCTCTATAACTACTACCTTTTTTTCTGCTTCCCTTCACTGAAATACTCCTCAGAAGGAATTACATGGACTCGCTGGCTGCAATTCCTCTCCTCCATCAGTCTCTGGAGCAGACTCAAGTCAGGCTTCCATCCTCACCACAGCAGCTCTCGCTAAGGATGCCAGTGGTCTCCACGCTGTCAGACGCAAACGCCAGGTCTCTGACTCCCTGCTGTTAGACTGATCTGCGGTCTTTGACACAGTTAATCCCTTTTTCCTTACTGAAACACTTTCTCCACTTTGGAACATCCCTCTTCTTCTCTCAGACCACTTTTCACTTTCCTTTGCCAAATTCCTGGAGTGCCCAGCACTGGACACCCCCCTCTAAGTGACCTTTTTCCAGTCTTGGGGCTTTAGAAACTGTGTGCATACGGATAATACCTACATTATTATCTCTAGCCCTAACCTCTTCCCTTATGCCAGACTTGTGTGTCTAACTTCCTACTTGACATCTTCATTTGGACATGTAATTGGCCTTTCAAACTTGACATGTCCAAAACCAAACTAATTTGCACCCCACCCACCAATCTATTCCCCTGACAGTCTTCCCTATGTTGATAAATGGCAACTCCATTTTTCCAGACCTGAAAAGCTTGTAATTACCCTTCATTTTTCTTTCACATAGAATCCACTAAAAAAAAATCTGTTTTCTCTAGCTTCAGAACATATCCACAATCCAATCTCAGTCCACCCCACATCTTTCCTGGATGACACTTTTAAAACACACCAGGTGACACCACTTTTCTGCTCAAGCCCTCGATGCCTCCCCATCTCACAGTGTCAATGCCCAGACAATGGTCTGTGAGGCCCCAATAAATCTGACCTAACTTTGGCCCCACCCCTACCTACTGCTGCCACTTTTCTGACCTCACTTACTGTTTCCCTGGATCACCTAGCTCCAGCCACACTGCCCTCCGTGCTGTACCTAGAATGCCATCAGCATGCTCCTGTCTCAGAATCTTTGCTCTGGCTCTTCCCTTTGTCTAGAAATCTCTTCCCCCAAGTATCTGCATGACTTGCTCCTCCCTTCCTTTATAGCTCTACAACGTACTCCTTTACTATCAGAGACCTATATAAAATAATCCCCCAGCACCCCACCCCCACTCATCCTCTGCTTTATCGCCTTCCACAGCACTTCCCAATATCTGCTTTGACCACTGGCCTATCTCCTGTGCTTATAAGAATGCCTGGCAAATCATGGGCACTCAGTAAGGATTTATTGGATGAATGAATGGATATAAAAGTTTGGGAATTTCTTAAAAAAAGAACTATATAGTTATTTCCATTTCAATATCAAAACAGAAAGCTGTGTCCAAAGCCTGTATCATAGAAGCATAGGTTTGCTTTCTTGGAGAACACAGAAAACGCTATGGATTTCGTTTCCTGGATG